GCCCACCCTACACCCCACACTTTCCTAGATGGCTTCCCAGCCTCAGGATGCCTCCTCTGTGTCCAGCTGCAGCACTCTTGTTGCTTCTAGAAACTAGATGGTGATCTGCAGTCTTGGCCAGGTGGGGCACACGCCTTTAAGTGCAGCACTCAGAGGCTGAGGCAGGTGGATCTCTGAGGCAAGCCTGGTCTACATAGTGAGTTCCAGGACAGCCAGAGCTACATAGTGAGCCCCCCCACCCAACAATGACAACAACCCACTGCAGTCTTTCTCCTCTGCTCCCCTCTGTTTCCACTCCCCCCTGCCGTCTTATGGATACCTTCTTTCTCCCATTCCATTTCCCTGACTTTCCAGTCACAGTTGGAGCTGCCATTCAGCCCGGAGTTCTTAATTTGGCTCATGTTAATTTCCTGTTCTGGAATTCTATGTGTATGCTCTCCTTGAAAGTCTCTTGTTCCTTGCAGGTCTTCCTAGACTTTTTCAAACTAGGTAAGCATGATTTCAGAATTTGGGTCTGATAATTCTAGTGTTTGAAGTCTGGATCATTTCTGTATCCAGTTAGGAAAATGGAAGCCAATGAGTTGTTTGTAACAGGGAGCTTAGTGAAACCTTCCACAGCAGAGGTGCTGAGAGGGCTGGGGAAGGACTGTGGTGCCCTTCGCTCCTGCTGGCTCAGCATCTAGCTCTTAGAAGCCTGTGTGTTACCTGCTTTGCCTTTCCCTGCCCCACTCTGAAATCTCCCACACGTGCTTCTCTTTGCCGCAAACTAACAAGATTCTAGTTAGTAGGAAGTCTCCTGTGAGGGTTGTGAGGCCTCTGTCCTCTGCAGCAGAGACCGAAAAGTGCTGGGTACTGCAGACAGGAGTCTGGGACTGGATGCTAAGCCATCTGTTGTTTTTGCTTTGGGTTCTTATTCCTAGAGTCTTGTTTGTCCTTTTATGCTTGGTATTTTTGAATCTTGGCATTGAGGAATTACATGGAACAATTTGATGCCTGTGACTTTTCATTAGCTTGTCAAACTCTGGGAGGCCTTCCTGCCTGGCTAGAGCCACCTTGAGTCCACATTTAGCAGTTTCTTGGATCATCTGGAGAAATTAATGTGACAGGCAGGCATCCTTGTAGAAGCTTGCTCTACTTCATCCATGCTCTTAGACTCTTTCCTATCCAGTTCATTTGATGAGGGGCTCATTCTAGACCCATAATGTAGCCAAAATAATGACGTAGCTCTGTGATTCTATCTTCAAACTGGAAAGGCAGCCTTTGGTAAAAGCTGTTTTGCATTCCAGGTTTGCTCAGAGTTTCTGAACTTTGCTTGTATTTTAGCCTCTTTCCGTACAAGATAGTTAGCTCTTAAGTCCTTGTAAGAATATATGTTGGGGCTGCTTGGTAGATGACCAAGGTTCATTTCCTAAGACCTGCACTGTGGCTCACAACCACCTACTCATAACTCTGAGATGTAGAGGATCCAGCACTCTCTTCTGGCTTCTTTGAGCTCCTGCGTCAATGTGGGGCATATAAAATTCATGCATGTATATGTATACATGCACACTAAATAAATTCTCTTTCTCTTTCTTTCTTTCTTTCTTTCTTGCTTGCTTTTTTAAAATTTGTTTGTTTGTTTGTTTTTTTGTTTTTCGAGACAGGGTTTCTCTGTGTAGCTTTGTGCCTTTCCTGGAACTCACTCTGTAGCCCAGGTTGGCCTCCAACTCACAGAGATCTGCCTGCCTCTGCCTCCCGAGTTCTGGGATTAAAGGCGTGCACCACCACAGCCCGGCACTTATTTGTCAGTTTTAAAAGATGAAATTTACTTGTTTTAGTTCAATTTAATAATCTGTCCTGGGCTGAAGAAATGGCTCAGGGGTTAAGCACCCTGACTGCTTTTTCAGAGGACCCAAGTTCCATTTCTAGAACCCACATGGTGGCTCACAACTACCTGTAACTCCAGTTTCAGGGCATATGATGCCCTTTTCTAGCCTCTGTGGGCACCAGACATGCACATGGTACACAGACATTCCTGCAGGCAAAACACCCATACACATGAAATAAAAATAAATAAATGTAAAAAGAGTCTTTCTTTAATACTCAAAAGACTCTCCATTTGTGAGATTACAAAGACCACTGAGTGTTAGCACTTTCATACGGGTTAACATAGGAAATCCTGAATTATTAAGTGTTTTATTGATTTAGTAAAATATGGCTGCTTTGATTAGATGACAGTAAAGAAACAACTTTGGGTGTGATTATGCTAGGGAGGGCACAAACTTATCAGATCTCTGTATTAGCAAGAGTAATGGGGGAGTGTTTGGAAGCCTCTTGTAATACTCATATGAAATAAGCTACTTGGACATCCTGTAGAAGAGCAGAGCCAGCAAATAGCCCTGAAAAGGGCATGTTGGGAGGTCAATGCGGCCAGGATTTGGTAAGGATGAGGAGCACCGTGGGCTGGGCTTTGCATGATTTTGTTAGGACCCTGGTTGAAAGCAAGCTGATGGAGAGTTTAGAGGAATAAAATGACCTAATTTCTGATGTTTGCTGTGTTGATTGGAACTTTGTCATCATTTTCTTTTTTAAATTAAAAAAAATTATTTCTCTCTCTCTTCCTTCCTTTCCCTCCCCCACCCCGTGTGCGTGTGCGTGTGCGTGTGCGTGTGCGTGTGCGTGTGCGTGTGCGTGTGCGTGTGCGTGTGCGTGTGCGTGTGTGTGTGTGTGTGTGTGTGTGTGTGTGTGTAAAAGAGAGTCACAGAAGGAGTGTGACAGCAGTCAGCCACTCTCTGGATGCTGGGAACCAAACCCTGGTCCTCTACAAGAACCAGAAGTACTCTTTACCGCTGAGCATCTCTCCAGTCCCATCTTTTTCTTTTGGGATATATGGTCTCACTGTCTAGACCACCATCAAATTGGGGTCATCTTGCTTCAGTGCTGGGGTCGCTAATATTCCCTGTTCTGCTCTCCCCTCATCTTTTACCAGGGATTGAACCCAGGACCTTGCACATGCTAGGCAAGTGTTCTACAGTTGAGCCACAACCTCCCCCATTTTTTGAGACATTCTACCAACTGAGTTACATTCCTAGCCCTCTTTTTTTTTTTCTTAAACAAAATCTCATTGGCCTTTAATTCCAGCACTCGGGAGGCAGAGGCAGGAGGATCTCTGAGTTTGAAGCCAGCCTGGTCTACAGATCAAATTCTAGGACAGCCAAGGCTACACAGAGAAACCCTGTCTCAGAAAAAAAAGAAAAGAAAATCTCACTGTAATAATCCAGACTGGCCTCAAACTATTGAATCTCCCAAGAGCTGAGATTACAATGATAAGAACTTTCTTTTTGAGGCGGAAAATGTTCTGGAATTGGATACTGGTGATGGTTGCACGACTCTATCAGTATACCAAAAATAACGGTATCATACATTGTTAAAAGATGACTGTCACTACTCAGTGATTCTGTTAAACACAAGCAGAGCCAGCCAGCCTTGCTCACAAAGCTGACAGGTGCAGACAGTCCCAGAAGACCCTGGATGCAGGTTATTCCTGGGAGAAAAGTAGCCACTGTTTCTGCTGCCAGTTTGCTGTTCGAGTCATTGTTTTGGACTAGACGAAAGCTTTGTTTTCCGCTGTAACAGGCCTCTCGGAGGAGCATTTGTTAAGCACCGTTTTTATTTTATTCAGTGCTTCTTTGTGGCTCCATGATGCTAGTGTGACCTGTCTTTTGGCAGGAGTCTTAGTTCCTGCCTTTCAAAACAGGTAGTTAGGCACTCTGGATTTGCTTTTTCTTTTTTAAAGGTAATCTGGAGTTCAATTTTTTTATTAGGACAGGGTCTCATGGGGCCCAAGCTGTATCATCTGAGCTATATCCTCAGCCAGAGTTTACTTTTTTTTTTTTTTTTTGGTTTTTCGAGACAGGGTTTCTCTGTGTAGCTTTGTGCCTTTCCTGGAACTCACAGAGATCCGCCTGGCTCTGCCTCCCGAGTGCTGGGATTAAAGGCGTGCGCCACCACCGCCCGACTATTTTATTTGTTTATTTTGAGAGGGTCTCACTATGTAACTCTCGCAAATCTAGGATTTGCTACGTAAACTAGGCTGGCCTTGAACTCACAGAGGTCCACCTGCCTTTACCTCTTGGATGCTGGAAGTAAAGACCTGTACCACTATACCCGGCAAGTTTACTGATTTTTGGTTTTTTCAAGACAGGGTTTCTCTGTGTAGCTTTGGAGCCTTTCCTGGATCTTGCTCTGTAGACCAGGCTGGCCTTGAACTCACAGAGATCCACCTGCCTCTACCTCCCGAGTGCTGGAATTAAAGGCGTGCACCACCACTGCCTGGCTTAAATTTACTGATTTTTAAAAGAAAAAAAAATTCTAGCTAATTTTTTGTTGTTTGTGGTGGTGTTGGTAAGGGCCTAGGGCCCTTACATGATAGGCAAATAGTCTCCCTAAGCTACATGCCCAGCCTTAGCTATTATTTGAAGTTGTTTCTAATGTGCTATCATTAGAAAAATGAGTGACATATAGTATCTTTTAGATAAACCAGATTAGCATTAATAGTGGTTTTATTCTACAAAACACTTACCTTAATTTTTTTTTCAGATTTCTTTTTTGAGGGGAGTGGTTTTAAAGACAGGGTTTCTTTGTGCAGCCTCGGTTGTCCTGAACTAGCTCTGTAGACCAGGCTGGGCTCAAGGTGTGCATGTATCACCACCACCCGGCTCTTAAATTTTTGGGGGGGGGGGCGGTTTCCAGACCGAGTTTCTCTGTGTAACAGTCCTGGCTGTCCAGGATGGCCTGGAACTCACAAAGATCATCCCACCTCTTCCTCCCAAGTGGGTCATCACTACCATCCAGCTTATCTTAAATTTTAAATGAAATTATTCATTGACTTTCTAGCATTTGCAAAGCTTTGGGTTCCATCTTGAGCACTGGATGGATGGTGATGACCCCTGAACTATGTTTACATGCTTTCAAATATCTGAAACATAAAGAAAGGTAAGTTTTAATGTTCTGTTTTTCAGTGATGTATTGGCATTGCCCATTTTCAAGCAAGAAGATTCCAGCCTTTCTTTGGATGGTGAGGCCAAGCACCCCCCATTTCAGTATGTGATGTGTGCTGCGACTTCACCAGCTGTGAAACTGCATGATGAGACCCTCACTTACTTGAACCAAGGTTAGTATGGTTCCTCATATAGCATGTAAAAATCTACAAAAATCTTAAAATGTTTTGGTATTGTAACTTACAGTGCTAGTAACAATTAAAAAGTAGGTTCTTAGCCGGGCGATGGTGGCGCACGCCTTTAATCCCAGCACTCGGGAGGCAGAGCCAGGCGGATCTCTGTGAGTTCGAGGCCAGCCTGGTCTCCAAAGCGAGTTCCAGGAAAGGTGCAAAGCTACACAGAGAAACCCTGTCTCGAAAAACCAAAAAAAAAAAAAAAAAAAAAAGTAGGTTCTTACATTGTACAAGCTTAGCAAAATCTGTAGGACGTTTTCTGTGAGCCAACAGTGTTGTACATGAACAACCTTTTCATGTACATCGTGGTTCTTTTTCTGTCACTAAATGCAGTCTTTTGTTTTGTTTTTGTTTTTCAAGACAGTGTTTCTCTTTGTAGCCCTGGCTGTCCTAGAACTAGCTCTGTAGACCAGGCTGGCCTCGAGATGCACCTTCCTCTGCCTCCCAAGTGCTGGGATTAAAGGCATGCACTACCACTGCCTGGCCACTAAATAGAATCGTTAACTCATTGAACAATAGGTTTTAGGCTTTATATTTATGGTTAATATTACAAGATGTAGAAGGGAACTGAGCCTGGTGGCACGTTCTTTTAAGCCCAGCACTTGGGAGGCAAAGGCAGGCAGATCTTGAATTTGAGGCCACTCTGGTCTATACAGTAAGACCCTGTTTCCAAAAAGAAAAGATTAACTTGTAACTTCCCTTGATAGGGAGTTTAGAATAGTGAGGCTCTTTATCTTAAGACAGTAATCCTATCTGTAGCATGTGTGCTCGTCTCACTTTGCTTTTAATATATAGTACTTATTTGGGGTTCAGTTATTGGAAATATAACTTTCAAATGATTTTATTTAGTAATTTGTTTGGGACTTGAAATTTTCAAAAGAAACAGTGTGGGGGCAAGGATATTCATTTTAATCTTATTTTATTCTGTTGGTTGACTGTGTGGTGGGTGTTAGGGATGGAACCCTGAGATTTGTTTAGGCACTGAGGGAAAATGTGGTTAATTCTTGGCTATTTTAGTAAGAGCTGCTTTGTTTGTTTTTGGGGTGCTTGGGATCCAGCCCAGGGCTGTAGATTTGTAAGGCAAGTGCTGCACTCTACATCAGGCCCACTAAGAGTTTTTCGAACAGGACCTTGTTCCAAGGGAAGATTCTGAATGCATTGGGAGGAGTCCTGACCAGTAAGCACTTGGCTTCCATACAAGGTAGTGGTTTCAGAGTTGCAGGGAGGCTGAGAGTGAGGTCCTGGTTCCTCGTAGGTTTGGGGCAGGACCCAGGAACTTTGCTTTTCTCTTTCTCTCTCTTCTGCCCTCCCCGTCTCTCCCCTTCCCTCTTCTCCTCTTTTCTCTTCTGAGATAAGGTCTCTGGCTGGCCTGGAACTCACAGAGGTCTACCTGCCAAGTGCTGAGATTAAAGGTGTGTGCCACTACACTGCCAGGAACTTGTATTCCTGGTAAATTGGGGTGAGGCTTCTGCTGGCTTGGAAACCACAGGTGCCCCTCTCTTTTGAGACAGGGTCTCACTGTATATCCCTGACTATCCCTGGAACTCACTGTGTAGACCTGGCTGCCATTGAACTCACAGAGATTTGCTTGCCTGTGCCTTAGTTGCTGGGATTAAAACTGTGTGCCACCATCCCCCACCCCCCCAGTTCACTTTTTTTTTTTTTTTTTTTAACTTTAAATATTTGGGAAAATAAGTGGGCTTTCCCTGACTTCCGTTTGTCTTTCTATTTCTGCATTGCTGGGGATCAAACACTGGCCTCATGCATGCAGGGCAGGTGCTCCACTGCTGAGCTCCAACCCCCAGCCCTCCAGCACCACCAGTTGAAGGATAGCATTCAGAGGAGAGCTGGCAGGTATTCAGAGGCTAATGCTGTGACTTGCTGTTTGCTAGTAGTTCCCCCTTAGGCTCACTGCTCACCTGCCTTTGGAACTATTCATTAGGACTGCACCATTGGATAATGGGAAGAAAACAAAAGAAAGGGGAAACTGTAGGTAATGTAGGTAGCAGAAATTGGATCAAGAATTCTTAGCTGGGTGGGAGGGGTGATGTTTTCAAACTATAAGAGTTCAGAGTTTGAAAACCGCAACTTTGTGTTTGGCTGGTTATCTCTAAATTGCCGTCTATAAGAAGAGTTAGGTTCCTGATTTTGAACTTGGAGTAACTGGTTCTCCTTTGAACAGGGTCTGACTAGGTAGGATAAATCATCCTTTCTTTGCCAAGGAGCTTGGTCTTTGGAAGGGGATTTGGGAGACCCATTCTGCCTTGCTGCATTCTGGGTTAGGTCCTTGTAGCCACTGGAGCATCGTCATCTCATCTGCAAGCAAAAAAGAGAACCTTTCTCCCAGTTCCTCTCAAATACTGTCTGTTAATTAACCAATATCAGCTACATTGCAAAGAGGTCTTAGGCCTTAGGAAATAGTAGCACGTTTATTAAAATTATGTTAAAATATTGTACACTCTAGAAAAAAATGTTTTTAGTTACTTTCATTTTATCCATACTAGATTTCCTTTTGTTTAATTTTGGTTACTAAAAGTTAGGACTGTAGAAATAAGAGGCTAGAACATAGGTAGCCCTGCAGTTAAGAATACTTGCTGCCTTTTTTTTTTTTTTTTGAGATAGGGTCTCATTTGTGGTCTTGACTTGTCTGGAACTCACTGTGTAGATAAAACTGGCCTAAAAGTCTCAGAAATCTGCCTGCCTCTGTCTCCCACATGCTAGGCTTTCCAGCTTTAAAAATACTTGATGCTCTTGCAGAGGAAGGACCTGCGTTCATTTCCAGTTCCCACGTGCCGTGCTACAACCATTTGTAACTCCAGTTCCAAGGAATCTATTGCATTCTTTTTGCCTCTTTGAACACCAGTCAAATGAGTCGACAGAACATTTGTACACATAAAAGAAAAATAAATGATTTTTTTTTATAAGCTTAAACTTAGCCATGTGGGTGTTGTCATGTCTTTGGAGTCCATGTGAGAAAGGTCTAGAGTCTGAGTACTCAAAACAAGAGGTAGGTAGGGATATGAACTCAGCATAGCAATTGTGTTTTCTTTCCCTTTTTTTGAGGGGGGTTTGTTTGATTGTTGAGACAGGGTTTCTCTGTGTAGCCCTGGCTGTCCTGAAACTTGCTCTGTAGACCAGGCTGGCCTTGAACTCAGATCAGCCTGCCTCTGCCTCCTGAGTGCTGGGATTAAAGGCATGCTTCACTACACCGGGCTAGCAGTTGTCAACCATGGCAGTTCTTTTGTGTTACTAAACCCCCAAAGAAGAAAAATACCAAAGTGTGGAAGGTAAATTCAGAAAGTAGGGGCTGGAGAGATGGCTTAGTGGTTATGAGCACTTAATCCTCTTGTAAAGGACCTAAGGTTCAGTTCCCAGAATCCACATGGTGGCTCACAACCATCTGTAACTACAGTTGCAGGGGATCTTATGGCATCTTCTGGCCTCTACAGGCACTGCATGCATATACACACACACACACACACACACACACACACACACACACACACACACATATACACACACACACACACACACACATACAGACAAACATATAAAAGCTAAACAAATATTTTTAAAAATTCAGAAGGTAAATAAAGTTCAGAACAGAACCAGCATCTCACGGGATGTTACAGTTTGATTTGATACACTCAATACTTTATTAGGAGTGGAATTTTGAGTTTTATTTGGAACTGAAATGTATGGAGTTGAAAAACTATGGAGGAGAAGAAGACAAATGGAAAGAAAAGCCTATGAAGTCCTGGTCACCTTCCAGTGGGCATTCCTGAAGTGGAATATGTGGCATTGGGGTGTGACTGGGCAAGTGCTTTATCTCTGAGCTACATTCCTGCCCTTGGGATTTGAAACAGGCTGGCCTGGAGCTCTTGCCTCTGCCTCTCAAGTGCCAGGTTACAGGCCCATGGCACCATGTCCAGTTCACAGAATCCTTTAAAGCCCACTTCTGGTCTGGGAGAATAAATAACTTTTATCCATGAGCAGCATGTTTTGATCTGTCTGTGGGAAGACACAGAACTGTCAGCTGTGTGCTTCAGACCCTTCCTTAAATGGACCAGGAAACATCAACCAAAGAAAGCAGGGGCACCAGGACTCCCTCCTTCTCTTCCTTATTCTCTCCGGCTTGAGGACTTGGTGTTTCTGAGGATCATGACGTGATCCCGGGGGACAGTTTTTCCCTTTGTCCAGGAGAGCCAAATGAGCACTGCTTTTGTCTCCCTCTGTTGTGGGATGGTCTGTATGTTAAATGTGTTGTTGATTGGTCAATGAATAAATCATTGATTGGTTAGTGGCCAGGCAGGAAGTATAGGCGGGACTAAGAGAGAAAAAAATGGAGAGAACAGGAAGTTGGGTGAGAGAGACACTGCCAGCCGCCATCAGGACAAGAAAGATGTAAAGTACCGGTAAGCCACAAGCCACGTGGCAAGGTATAGATAAATAGAAATGGATTAATTTAAGCTGTAAGAACAGTTGGCAAAAAGCCTGCCACGGCCATACAGTTTGTAACCAATATAAGTCTCTGTGTTTATTTGGTTGGGTCTGAATGGCTGTGAGACTGGCGGGTGTCAGAGATTTGTCCTGACGGTGGGCCAGACAAAAAAACTCTAGCTACACCCCTCTCATCTTTTCTTGGGTGACTCCACGAGGTGAAGCCCTCTGTTTTCTTCTTTACTCCTTCAGTGGTCGTGTTGAAATAGCTGCACCTCACACTGTATCCTGAAAAGCCCTCTGTTAACATCTGCAGCCTCCTCTCTTCCTGTCGCTCCAGATTTGAAACTAACTTCATCCTCGTGGATGCCCCATGGTAGCTGACTTGACACTTTGGGTCTTGTCTTCTCTGGTCTGCTCCTTGCTGTTTTTACCACGTTAGGAGGTGGCAGCTGCTCCTCCTCCATCAGAACTCTGGTGTAGTTCTTGGCCCCCCCTCACAGTTTACATCTAAAAGCAGAAAACTCCCATAGGCTCTTCCTTATGGTGCCTCCAGTTAGTGACCTCTGCTTTCAACCTCTCCTGCTATCAGCAAATAGGACAAACCTTTAGCCTTGCCAACTCAGACTGAGGGGCTGACACCACTCTGATAGGTCGGGTTTCTCTCATGGAGGGTGACTGACTTCTGTAGCACGAATCTTAAAGAGATCTTATTAATAAAAACAAACTCAGAGCCAGGTATGGGGTGAACACTGAAAGATCAAGAGAGACAGAACCAGCCACAGCTACCTCACCTTGCCAATTTCCTCAGCTGATCCTGTTTCCTCAGACTGGAAACCTCGGTGTCCTCATCCGAATGGATCTCAGCTGAACTGCTGCTAAAAGCTTAACCAGGCTCTAGTTCCTGGTCCTCACGCCTTATATACCTTTCTGCCTCCTGCCATCATTTCCTGGGATTAAAGGCATGTGTCACCATGCCTGGCTGTTTCCAGTGTAGCTTTGAACTCACAGAGATCCAGATGGATTTCTGCCTCTGGAATGTTAGGATTAAAGGCGTGTGTTAGCATTGCCTAACCTCTATGTTTAATATTGTGGCTGTTCTGTTCTCTGACCCCAGGTAAGTTTATTAAGGTGCACAATATATTGGGGGACACAATATCACCACAGACTTCTCTTGGCCTTCAATTGGCATTTTCTTTCTTTTTTTTTTTTAAACTCACATGTCCTTTTGATTTGTTCATGTTTACCTTGGGGAATATCAGGCATTTGTTGGTGATTTTGTGAGCACTTCTTGAGTATTGAGCCCTTTGTGGGGAATACAAGTTAAAATAGTCCCTCTCTTGTATTTTTTTTCCCCTTTGATTAGTTAGAATATGAGTCCAACGGTCTGGAATTTAACTTATTGACGGGTGCATACAGGCTGCTTTCTAGAGAGACTATTTAGACCATTGTATAAAATCATTCCTTGCCCACTTGACTTTTTCAAGACAGTGTTTCACTATGTAGCTCGTGCTGGCCTGAAACTCTCGGGCTTGCTTCACCTGCCAGTGTTGACTTTTTATTCAACGTTTTGAATAATCAGATAACTAACACAAAACTTTTACTTTTATTTCCTAAGTTCTTATGAGGCTCGGTGTAATTTTAAATGTGTAATGATATGTTTTTCAAAACTGCATCTATGCTTTTTAAAAAATTGTTACTGTTTTCAAAATCAAGATTCATTGTTAAATATGTTGCAATCTGTATCTTAGTTTAAATATTTAAATTTCACTTGTCATAAATTCTTTTATTAATCTTTCAATATGATGGACAAATTTAAGGAATATTTTAAAAATTAAGGAATATTTCAGTAATACACTATGCACAGCTGTTTTTTTCTCACCAGTTTTCAAGTGATTTGAGTATATTTTGATAACCCTTTGTTGATAATTCTGTGACCTAGAGCAGCAGTTCTCAACCTTCCTAGTGCTGCAGCCCCTTAATACAGTTCTTCATGTGGTGACCCCAACCTTAAAATTGTTTCATTGCTACTATTATGAGTTGTAATATTAATATCTGATATGTAGGATATCTGATATTCGACCCCTGTGGAGGTCATGACCCACAGGTTGAACTGCTTATCTTTCTGTAGGCCCACAGAATTGATAGGGTGTTGGTAGTTAAAGTCTCAAGTTCAGCTGGTCTAGAAATGATCTTTGGTTTATACCAAATGACACCATTATTTTTATTAATAACAACCCAGAGTAGTATTTTTTTAATTTGTGTGTGTGTGTGTGTGTGTGTGTGTGTGTGTGTATGTGTGTGTGTCTTTGTAGGGGTAGGTAATGTGGATATGAATGCTGTTGCCCTTGGAGCTAGAAAAGGTTGTAAGCCCCTGACATGGGTACAGGGAATCAAACTCAGATCTTTTTGAAAAACAGTAAGTGCTCCTAAACACTGAGCCATCTATCTCTCCAGCTGTTCCTAATTTTCTTTTTTTTTTTTTTGGTTTTTCGAGACAGGGTTTCTCTGTGTAGCTTTGCGCCTGTCCTGGAACTCACTTGGTAGTCCAGGCTGGCCTCGAACTCACAGAGATCCGCCTGGCTCTGCCTCCCGAGTGCTGGGATTAAAGGCGTGCGCCACCACCGCCCGGCTGTTCCTAATTTTCTAAATGCTCTAGACCAGTGTGTAGAAATTGTGTGTGTGTGTGTGTGTGTGTGTACGTACGCACGTACGTGTGTGTGTGTGTGTGTACAAATGAGGCAATGGGCAAATGTGACTTGGATTTAGTAACACAGAGAGGCTCCAAGATTAAAATTGGTCTTGGTCCATACAAAAAAACCATTTGTCTATGTTCATAGTACCATTTATTGTCACTCCCAAATTGGAAAACAACACAAAATATACATCACTTGATGAGTAGATGAACAAAACTTGGTCTGCTCTTGCAGTAGAATATTATCTGGCCATAGAAAGGAAAAAATTACATAAAAAGGAAAAAGCATACATTAAGTGAAAGAAGGCATTCTCTGAAACCACACATATTATGTTTGGTTTATATGAAATGTCTGTAATAGGCAAGTCCCTAGAGATAGAAGGTGGATTAGTAATTGTCTGGGGTTTAGTAGGATGGACAGAGGAGCATGGGAGGTGATAGCTACTGAGTTGGGGTTTCTGTTTAAGACAATAAAGTGCTCTAAAATTGGTGGTAATGATAGTTGTGCAGCTTTGAACATATTAAAAACCCTATGAATTATAGCTTAAAAAATAAATTTTATGCTGGGTGGTGGTGGTGCATGCCTTTAATCCCAGCACTCAGGAGGCTGAGGCAGGTGGATCTCTGAGTTCGAGGCCAGCCTGGTCTACAAAATGAGTTCCAGGACAGATTCCAAAGCTGCACAGAAAAACCAAAATAAATAAATAAATAAATAAAATAGATTTCATGGTATAAATTTAATATTTCAGAAAAGCAGAAAGTTAAATCTTGGATACATATGTAGTAAAATAGTTGAGAATGGCCAGTGAAAGTAAATTGACAGGCAATCTCCTATGTGTCATTAGGATAGAATGGTGTGATTTTTCAGGAGAAAAAAAGAGAAAGAACAACTTGAATATGCTTCTCTGGCACACTGAAAAATTAATTTCATGTAGTTGTATATTCTGAGGGACAGAATATACAGAATTATGTAGAATACATTGATGTTCTTTACATGGATTGTTTTTGATATATAATTTCTTTAAATTAGGCCAGTCTTATGAAATTCGGATGCTGGATAATCGCAAAATGGGAGATATGCCTGAGATCAGTGGAAAATTGGTAAAGGTAAGGACAGTCTGTTTCAGTGGATTCTGTGGTGATTGAATAAAAGTGGCATGCAAGAAATTTTTTGTTTGTTTTTTAATATGTATTTATATTGTGCGTGTGCCACTGCCATAGCACACTTGAGGCTGGAGGGCTCTCTGCTTCCACCACAGGGGTTTGGAAGTTGTACCTTAAACTCTAAGTCATTGATGTAAGCTTCTTTATAAAAATTTTAAAATATCTCTTTAGAAAAATGACTACTTTAGAAGTTTGGGCTTTTTCAGTTGTATTTTGCTTACTCATGTGTGACATGGAAGTTACAGTTGTTGGGAACCAGGAAACAGTAGAAAAGGTAGTTTAGTTATGCAGAGCAAAACCCATCTCCACATCTAAGCCCTTTTCAGTTTTACTTTTTATCATTATCATTACCATTATTATGAGAGAGAGAAAGAGACTGTGAGAGCACACACTCCTGCACAGCTATGCACATGCATGTGTGGGGGCCAGAGGATGGCTGTTGGAAGCTCGCTCTTCCCCTCCAACTTCATGTGGGGTTTGGGCATTGAACCTGCGCTGTCAGGCTTGTGCTGCAAGCACTTGTACCTGCTCAGCCGTCGGGCCGGCCGAGCCTCGCATTTGAAATACGTTAATTTACAACTTTTAAGAACCTTTTCTTTCACTTTTTAAATTTTTCTTCAGTATAACTTGAAATTTCAGTTTATCTACTGACATATCTAAATGAGGATGTCAGGCGTCCTATATATAAGAGACATAGCCCTTGTCTGGTCAGCCTTGAGGATTGCTCTTTAGACAAGGAATACACACACTTTCATTCGTGGGTCATGGAGGGTGAGTCCTTCTAGCTCTGTCTGCCTACGTACCGGGGCTTGTTATAGATACTACAGCATCAGAGGCAGTGCATTTTTGGAATATGCTTATTGGGAAGGGACAAGCTGCACTGTTAGCAGGAGGCTGCTCGGAGCGCAGCTCCCCTGATGTTTGTTGTAATGTTGGGGATCAAACTGGGATCTCACACAGGCCAGATACATGTTTGCTGATACTCCCAGTAATAATTTTTTCATTGGTTTTGTTGTTGTTTGTTTGTTTGAAAAGGGCCTTCACTGTGTAGCCCTGGATGTCCTGGAACTCACTCTATAGACCAGGCTGGCCTCCAACTCACAGAGATCTGCCTGCCTCTGCCTCCCGAGTGCTGGTTTTAAAGGTGTGCATCACCACCACCCGGCACCAGAAATAATTTTTTAAAGAGGAGATAAGACTGTATTTTTCTGTCACTGTAAAAGTTACATTTGATAACTAGCATGCTGCTTTTACCAAAAAATATGCAAATATAAAAAGGTTGAAGATTCGTTGTTATGGATTCTGTAATAACATTGTCAGTGTATTTGATATGTTTTGTGTTGAGCCCTATACACTGGCTCCAAAAGTGGAGCTCACGTATTCGTGCATGTTTGTTGGCACAGGGTGTCATGTAGCCCAGGCTGGTCTCAAATTCCTCATGTAGCCTGAGGACAGCCTTGAATTTCTGGTCTTTCTGCCTCCACTTGTGAGTGCTAGGATGGTAGGTGAGTAACACTGTGCTGGGTGTGTAGGTGCAGGGGATTGAACCACAGCTTCACGCATACTAAGGAAACACTACCAATGGAGCCATATCTCCAATTCCCAAAATTGTTAGAACATCTTAAAACTTTTTAATTTTTTTATTTTTATGTACATTGGTGTTTTGCCTACATACATGTTTGTATGATGGTGTTGGATCCCCTGGAATGGTTGTGAGTTGCCATGCGGGTGCTGGGAATTGAACCCGGGTCCTCTGGAAGAGTGGCCAGTGCTCTTAGTTGTTGAGCCATGTCTCCAGCTGTTAAAAACTTTTTGTTTGGTTTTTGTTTTTCTTTTTGGTATTGACAGTTGAACCTAGGGCCCCGTACATACTAAGCAAGTAATCTATTTCAGTGAGCCAATTTGCAACTCTATTGAACTTCTAATCTTACAACAGTTTGAATAAGCTGCCTTGAGCTCCCTGTGTAGATCATGCAGGCCTTGAACTTGCAATCCTCCTGCCTCAGAGTTCCTAAGAGCAGAGTTTCTGGCTTGTGCTGTCAGGCCTGGCTTTTTTACTTTTAAAGTGTGTGTGTGTGAATTCGTGTGTAAGAGCCCTCAGGAGCCAGAAGATCCATGGTAGCTAGAGTTACAGGTGGTTGTGAGCCTGCATGTGGGTGTTGGAAATGGAACTTGGGTCTTCCACAAGAGCAAGTCCTCAGCTGTAAGAACCCTTGAGCTGTATATCTTTTTTTTTTTTTTTTTGGTTTTTCGAGACAGGGTTTCTCTGTGTGGCTTTGCGCCTCTCCTGGAACTCACTTGGTAGCCCAGGCTGGCCTCGAACTCACAGAGATCCGCCTGGCTCTGCCTCCCGAGTGCTGGGATTAAAGGCGTGCGCCACCACCGCCCGGCTGAGCTGTATATCTTGTCTTCATACCCTTGAGTTCCTTGTATGTGTGCTGGGTTATACAGTGTATTAATTCATGTTTGCTTAGGTCATCAGCCAAGACTACTGATGATCTGAGGAAAGTGTAACACAGTTTGAAATCAACACCAAATGCCAAATTAAATTTCTATCAAAGCACTGGGAAAGTCAATTCTAAAACACTTGGCATTTATCAGTGAAAATTGGCTTTTTAAGGCAGTTCCCTGATTGAGAAATAGCTAGTTACATAGGTGAGTTGTGTTTAAAATGATTTCATGGAGCTAGTTAAAATGCCTGTCAGAGTAGTTTGGTATGAAAGGTTAATCATTTAATTTGTTGAACTTCTTTGAATTTACTTCCAAATTAAAACACACAGAAAGAGTGTTATCAGACTAACTCAAGTGAAGAAACAGGCAACACTGGCAGTCCATGAAGTAAGGAGCTCTACCTCAAGCCACTCCCAACATGACCACCAACTCAAGCCACAGACTTACCGTGGTATTGCAGTGCTGGGCTTATGGATGTGAGCTATCAGGCCTGGATCTACTTTTTTTTTTTTTTTTTTTTTTTTATCTGGAGCTGAGAATCGAACCCAGGGCCTTGCGCTTGCTAGGCAAGCGCTCTACCACTGAGCTAAATCTCCAACCCCCTCAAAAAAAAAATTTTTTTGTTTTGTTTTGTTTTTCGAGACAGGGTTTCTCTGTGTAGCCTTGCACCTTTCCTGGAACTCACTCCATAGCCCAGGCTGACCTCGAACTCACAGAGATCCGCCTGGTTCTGCTTCCTGAGTGCTGGGATTAAAGGCGTGCGCCACCACCGCCCGGCAGCTCTACTTTTTTATATGTTTAAAATTGGAGACAGGGACTCATTAAGTTGTGAAGGATGGTCCTGCACTCACTCTGTAGCCTAGGCTAGCCTCATATTCTGATTCTCCAGCCTCCCAAGTAGTTAGAATTATAGGCCTGTATCACTAGGCCCAGCTAGAATGTTCACTTTTGTAGTCTTTGTTGATTATTTAATTTAGTTGTATGTGTATGTATATGCCACAGTGTGTGTGTGTAAATTAGAGGAAATTTTATGCAGTCAGTTCTTTCTTCTCACTTTTATGTGGGTTCCCAGGATTGAATTTAGGTTATCTGCAAGCACTTTATCCTCTAAGCCACCTCACCAACCTGTCTTTTTAGAGAAACTTAGCGATTATTATTGTTTTTCAGACAGTCGCCTCTGTAGCCCAGCTGGCCTTAATCTTAAGCTCTCCTGCCTCAGCCTCGAGATTGCTGAGTCATTACAGCCGATGTTAAGATTAATACAGTTGACTGTTGTCAGGGCTTACCTATCTATATTTTTAATATTTTTCATCTTTCATAATTCTTTTGGGCAGCTGGTATTTTCTCATAGAAATCTAATTCCTGCTCACTAATTTCATGGTCATGTACATTGATTTTTTTAAATTACAACACTGAATTATTTTATAGATTAAACCTTTTAATTAGACAGTGGTGGTGCACACCTTTAATCCCAGTGCTCAGCCGGATCTCCATGAGTTCGAGGGCAGCCTGGTCTACAAAGCGAGTTCCAGGGCTGTTACACAGAGAAACCCTGTCTCGAAGAAAAAAAAATTACACTTTTTAAATTTGTGCATAATTTTTAGTTATAATTCTTGGTAACTAAGTAAGCGTGTCATAAATTAGATATCCAAGAATAGAAACAGGTGGAATTTCTCTTCTCTTATTTTGGAACTAAGATGTCACTCACTATATAGCCTATGTGGGCTTTGAAACTAGCTGTTTATGTGACCCAGGATGGCTTCAAACTTGAAGCAGTCCTCCTGCCTCAGCCTCTCAAGTGCTGGCGTTTATGTGTGAGCTATGGTGCTCAACCTCACAGAGGGAGCATTTAAAGCAGAACCTGGTTTTGTATGCTCATCTATTACTATTTAATAAGTAAAAAACCGAAAATGCTTCTCCATTTAGCCAGAGTGGCTGAAACGCTCACTGTCCTCCCTCGTTTCACAGAGCATCATAAGGGTGGTGTTCCATGACAGACGGCTACAGTATACAGAGCATCAGCAGCTTGAAGGCTGGAAGTGGAATCGCCCAGGAGACAGACTTCTCGATTTAGGTACAGGTGGCTGTCAAAGACCATGGAGATGAAGGTGCTGTGTAACTATGTCCATTAACATGTTGGCACCATGTAAAATTCATCACACAAATTCAGCTTAGGTGTTAGTAGATCTGTGTCTTGAGAATTGCCTTATGCTTGAAGAGTGAAGTAGTTTTGTGGTGCTAAAGTAACCTCCACCAGGAATTGTATGATTTTGAAGCTATTTTAAACCTCAGTTGGCATCGTCCATCATATTCTTAATGAAATGAAATACAAACCGTGGTAGGAGAAACTGTGATTCTTGTTAGGTGGATTTGATATTGAAGACAAGGTTGACTACGGAGAACGTTGAAGGGAAGTTCAACATGGATTAATTATTTCCATAGAACATAATATAGTAAGTTTTAAGTTTGTTTTGTTTTTGTTTGTTTTGATTTTTTTGTTTTGTTTTGTTTTGAGATGGGGTTTTACTAGGCTGCCCAGGCTGCGCTTGAACCTCTAGGCTCAAGCCATCCCCCATACCTCAGCCTCCCAAATAGCTGGGACTCTACTTGAGTGTGTCACCACACCAGGCTCAAATTGTAAGTCTTTTCTTTTAATTACTTAAAGTGGATGCATTTTTTTTTTTGTAACTTGTGTTTGAACATACAGATATTCCAATGTCTGTGGGAATAATTGACACAAGGACAAATCCAAGCCAGTTAAATGCAGTTGAATTTCTGTGGGACCCTGCAAAGCGCACATCTGCCTTCATTCAGGTTTGCCTTTTTACGTTGTTAGATGCATACTGCTCAAGTCATTTAGAAGATTGAATTCCTGTCTCATGAAAGTATTTATTTGTAAATTATAACGTAATGTCTTTAAAAAAAAATACATATAGTTAAGGGGCTAGAGAGGTGACTCAGCAGTTAAGAACACTGGCTGCTCTTCCAGAGGATCTGGGTTCAATTCCCAGCAACCACGTGGCAGCTCACAGCTGTCTGTAACTCCAAGATCTGACATCCTTACATAGATATACATGTAGGCAAATCACCAATGCACATAAAATAAAAATAAATTATTTTTAAAAATACAGTTAAGCCGGGCGGTGGTGGCGCACACCTTTAATCCCAGCACTCGGGAGGCAGAGCCAGGCGGATCTCTGTGAGTTCGAGGCCAGCCTGGGCTACCAAGTGAGTTCCAGGAGAGGCGCAAAGCCACACAGAGAAACCCTGTCTCGAAAAACCAAAGAAAAAAAAATAAATAAATAAAAATACAGTTAAAATGGCTTTAATTTACTAGATTAGTTATATAGACATAAAAGACATTGGGTGATAGTAATAAATTTTTTTGTTATTTTTGTTTTGTTTTTTTGAGACAGGGTCTCTCTACATAGCCCTAGCTGTTCTGGAACTCACTATGTAACCCAGGCTGACTTTCAACTCACAGAGATCCACCTGCTGAGTGCTGAAATTAAAGGTGCACCGCCATGCCTGGCAATATTATTATTATTATTATTATCATCTTTTTTGTTTGTTTTGGAAACAGGATCTCACTTTATAGCTTTGGATGGCCTGGAGCTCACCATGTACAGCGTGCCACCACACCTTTGGGCTTTTAATTTTTTTTTTTTTTTTTCCAAGACAGGGTTTCTCTGTGTAGCTCTATCTATCCTGGAACTCACTCTGTGGACCAGGTTGTTTTTGAACTCTGTTTCTGCCTCTCAAAGGATGGCATTAAAGGCGTGTGCCACCACCGCCTGTCTTAAATTTTATTTTTGATCGGTGTTCACAGTAATAGAACTTTCTATTTTTTTCATGATGCACATTTCTCTTGAACAGAAACTGCCATTTAAAAGGATACTATTGAAAAAAAGTTTTAGGCTTAAAATTTTTTTCTAACATTATTTAAAACATGTTTATAATCAAACTTTAATATATACAAATGAAGAGATAATGATAGTGGATTCTTCATATGTCCATCATGTCAGAGATCCACCTGCCTGTGTCTCCTGAGGCTGGGATCAAAGCTGTGCACCATCACACCAGGCACTGTTGGCATATTTTAAAACAAACCCCACTGTATTTTATCCATAAACACTTTCGTGTGTCCAAGAGATAACTTTGAAAGTAACATGATTACATATTTAAAACCCAAAAGTAGTTGTAATATGTAGTGTTTCCAAATTTGTAAGTGGTGGAATTTTAACTACTGTGTATAGGTAGTCTTTATATAGAAGGGAATAGCTATTTAATTGTTAACCAGCTTAAGTAAGCTGTGTTTGCATCAACTCTAATGATCATTAGCATTCCATATTTGGGTTGTCTGTGAAATATTCCCTTCAGTTAATGATGATGACATGATTCATATTGGTTGAATATTGTCACGTGCTATTAGTGTCTGTCCAATAGAATAATCAGTTTTGTAGTAAATAAGAGTGGTAAGACCTGGCCTTATCTCAGGTTGTGCAACCTCATTGCAGAGGTGAGCTTTCACATTGCATATCACTTGAAGAGGGCTTGTCTGTGTAGCAGTCAGAAATGACCGTGGTCTTGCTGCTTGCTAACTTCATGTTGTATCCTGAGGCTGTTTTCTGAAGTGGTATGGGTCGGGGGAGTTGAAATGAATTTTGCCCCTGCGAGCCTGCCAGGACTTGGAAAGGTTGATCTGGAGAGTTTAGATGAATACAATTTGCATAAATAATGAGGCTTTAGGGACTAAAAATTGCCCAGGCAAAGCATCACAAATTGGTGTGTTTGGAGAAGCAGTAGCAAGAAGCTTGGCTGTCTACAGCAGGGGTGGAGGCAGTGGAGAGGCAGGCCTTAGGACCCTGGTCTGAGAGAGCATGCTGTTGGGGTGGAGGCAGGTGAGAATGTGTAGATGCTTCTGGGCTCCTTTCCTCACTGGAACCCGTCCCCCGTGAGAGGAGAAGCACTAGAGCAAGAGAATTGCTGGAGCCCAGTGAGTCCAGAAACACTGAAGTTCTCAAAGGAAGGCCTGTATTCAGGAGCATTCAGGAAATTCCAAGAGAATTTGACCTTTGTCTGTTTTAAGGGATCTTGGATGTACATCCATGAGGGAATAAAATAGAGCCTCAGTGGAAGGTTTTTGAATGTAGTTCGGCTTGAATTGTTCTGTAGGTACACTGCATCAGCACAGAATTCACTCCACGGAAGCATGGAGGTGAAAAGGGAGTGCCTTTTAGGATCCAGGTTGACACCTTTAAGCAGAATGAAAATGGAGAATACACAGATCATCTTCACTCAGCTAGCTGCCAAATCAAAGTCTTTAAGGTAAGCAATGGAAACCAGGAGGGATGTTCAGTTTTGTTTGTAAAGTTGTGTGCAGCCAGATGAATGAAGTCACCTACTTTGTTTTTAAGCCTAAAGGTGCAGATAGGAAACAAAAAACTGACCGAGAAAAGATGGAAAAGAGAACAGCTCATGAAAAAGAAAAGTATCAGCCATCTTATGACACCACCATCCTCACAGAGGTAATGTGGCACGGCATTTGGCTTTGGAGAGAAACAGGTTTAAATGCGTGTTAGCAGGACCTTGCACATGTGTTGCAACAAAGGGATTGGGAAGGCTGGGTGGCGGATTGACATGATATTCTGAGGATTTTGTGGGCACGTGTTTTACCCTAAGTTTGAGGGTTTTATTAGTTTATTTGCTTGGGTGGGATCTTGAATGAAGATGCTGAAATCCCAATGAGGTCTCAGAATAGACCTTAAAACCTTGAAATTGACAAGAGATTTAAGTGGGGGCCTAGAATGTCCAATTTTTGTCACTGCTGGGGTTTTGCATTTTCTTTAACTTTGAATCCTGTTAGTCATACATTTGTTTAATTGAGCGCAAAGACATGAAAACAGGGTATTAGGTCTTTCTTTGTATAATGAAAAGACATTGACCCCAATCTTTGGTGTTTGTCCAGATGAGGCTTGAGCCTATAATTGAAGATGCAGTTGAACATGAGCAGAAAAAGTCCAGCAAGCGGACTTTGCCAGCAGACTACGGTGATTCTCTGGCAAAGCGAGGCAGTGTAAGGGACTTCTGCTTCTCTTTTCATTGTGCAAGAACCCTTGTGCAGTGTTAGATATAGGACCAACTTCCATGGAAAAGTAAAGCCGAAATTGTTTTTATGTCCATGTCTTGATTTAATTTGCTTTTGTTTAGACTTTCTGCTTTCTGTTTGTTCCTCGCTGAGGAAAATTTCCTAAATCTAACACTTTAAAACAAAGCATAAACAATGTTGACCATAGTGGGTGGTTTTAGAGGGAACGACACTCAGAGAGATGTTTTCCAACTTGTTCCCTTGTTCCCTTGCCTTCTCCTTCCCTTCTTCCCCTTCACACACACAACTCCTTCAAGATCATGAATTACTTGACTAATTTTAAATCATTTTTATGTAGTTAAGAAGTTTTGCTTTTTTCACATGTATACCAAATAAGAAAATTTTGTAGACAGTTAAATGATGGCAGCAAGCTTGACATTACCATGTGCAGTACTCTGTGTGACCTTCCCCTGCATGCACCATAAGAATGTGTGTCTGTCTGTGCTTTTAAAAGCCTCTTGGGCAGCACTGGTAGAAGAACATCCTTGACTGTGTAGTGTCTTCTCTTGGCACCCGCATTGTGATGTAGCGCTTCAGAGCACAGTGGTGAGCTTGCTGCACCGCACCCCAGGACCCTCAGCAACGAGCACTTAGTGAGAGGGTTTGACCAAGCGCTGTCAGGGTGAATAGAGCAAGTCTTTGTAACACAACTCTGCCCAGTAGTCCACAGAGGATTGTTCTGAGTTCAGATTGAAATCAGCCATATACCCTTACTAAATATGAGTAGAAATGTGAAAGAATTTTTTAAAATAACCGTTTTAAGTACTCTGTTCATTATTGCACTGTTTGTATTATTAGAGTCCCAAAAATGGATTTTCACTTTTACAATTATCTGTGATTAATTGTGGACTTTGAAGGTCAATGTCACAAGGACTATAACAGAAACATTATTTCCGTTTTAAAGCAACATTTAAATGCTTCTTTATGCATGCTTGCATCCCAGGGCACTGGGAGCACATGCTGCATTTTCTTTTTATTTATTCATTCATTTATTCTTTTATTTATTTATTTTTTTTAGACACTTGCCCCTAGAACTCACCATGTTGCTCAGGTTGACTTTGAACTCATGGCAGTCCTCCTGCCTCAGCCTCCTGAGTACTAGGATTGCAGGTGTGAGCCACCAAGCCTGATTCTTTACATTTTCTGTAACTGGGCTGTTTTGGTTTAAATCAGAGACAGAGCCACTGAATGCTCTTTTCCCCAAATGTGTGCTCTCTAGTTTTATGTTTTATCAACTCCTAATTCTTCTGAAAACCTACAAATGTTCTTAGTAAATTTTTTTGAGGGGATCTTGGGAGCTTAAGTCACTTACCTTATAAACCATTTAGCTAATTTAAAGAAGTTGGTTCTGGTGTGATTGATAGGTAAATCTGTTTTAGCCCAGAGCCAATCCAAAAATGAGTAAGTCAGTAGTAAATTCTTAACGCTTCTTAAGTCTAAAATATGCAAAACGTCAGCAGTTCATGCCTGGGATTTCACATCTTCTTAATTGTGTCGCCTGCCACCCTGGCTGCATTTGGTTTGGGTATGATGCTTCTCCAGTTGGTTAGACCGCAGTCTGGAAACCTGTTTTCAAAATGCAGGGTCCAGATCATGAATCCCTTAACCAAGAACGTAGCTGCAGCACTTCGTGTATCTCTTCAAACGTCTGTAAAGGGGATGGGGACAACCTTTCTTGCAGTTTTGGGCTTTCAGTTAAAGGGATGTATATCCAGAAGTCTTGATAAAATCAAAAGGTGCTGGATGACAGGGTCCCACACTGAATTAGTTCCCAGGGGATGATGCCTAACAAACCCTTTGTGTGTCTGTTGATCTTTGACTCACTCCTGGGCTGCCACAGTTTGCTGCTGACAGTGGATCCTCATTCTTTAACCTGGGTGGGGAAGTTCTACATTGCAGTACACTGAATCCAGAACTGCACAGGTCCAGACCATTGGCCGAGCCTTCAGGAACATCGGCACTGTACTACAGCTTGCTTTTAGCAGCACCTTGAGCTGTGGGTACCCATTAGTGGTACAATGCTTGCCCAGCACACATACAATCCTGAGTTTGCTCTCCAGTCCTACAAAGCAATCAAACCCTAGATTAAAAACTCCTCTTGTGGTAGTAAAGGCATCTAAATTTATAAATGTGAAATAGATGAGCGTATGGTGAGTAAACGTGCCGTCTCCACTGTGCCACGCCAACTTTAAATTTTGGGATAGCTCTATTTTCTCAAAGAACTGGCAGTAATTATCAAGGTAAATTTGGGGAGGTCTTGCTTTGATTATTTTTTTTTTTTTTTTTTTTGGTTTTTTCGAGACAGGGTTTCTCTGTGTAGCTTTGCGCCTCTCCTGGAACTCACTTGGTAGCCCAGGCTGGCCTCGAACTCACAGAGATCCGCCTGGCTCTGCCTCCCGAGTGCTGGGATTAAAGGCGTGCGCCACCACCGCCCGGCTTTGCTTTGATTATTAAGAGTTATTTAGGGGCTGGTGAAGTGGCTCAGAGGTTAAGAGCACTGACTGCTCTTCCAGAGGTCCTGAGTTCAATTCCCAGCAACCACATGGTGGCTCACAACCATCGATAATGAGATCTGGCGCCCTCTTCTGGCCTGCAGGCAACATGCAGGAGGAATATTGTATACATAATAAATAAATAAATCTTTTAAAAAAAAAGAGTTATTTAGATGTGTATGTTTGGTTGTATTGTAATATTTTTTATTAGGAGAAGGGCGATGTAACATGAAGCTCTTGCATGTAGTGGAGTGACAGTCCATACTCCCTTGGTTAGATTTGTATGAGCATGGCACAGGCATGGGCACTTCACGTTATGTAAACTGAGGAGAAAACGATACTCAGTAAGATGAAAAAGGCCCTGCTCTTAAAGCAATAGGTGTTTTCGTGTGGAGTGTATTCTGTAGTAAGGTCATGAGTAGAGCTGACCAGTCAGGCCAATTTCTGCTTTGAAAGGTGGTGGTCTTGGACCAGTGTCAGCAATGACTTTTTTTTTTTTTTTTTGAGGGGTCCATAATTGGTCAGATGTGAGGAATGCTGGGGATTTATTTTCTTTCCCTGTTTATGCCTGTGTCTGGTAGCTGCTAAGACATAGATGGGCTTTGCCTAGAGAGACCTCCGTTCAAACTCTGTGCTTCACATTAGTGATCTTAACACTTTGCTAAGAAGAATTTGAACAAGATGATTTTTCCCTTGATTATTTTCAAACTGGCATCCAAAAGTTTCATTGTAAATTTGAGCAGTTGCAAAGGAAGCATTTCATGGCATGATGTATGTTTGTATTTATAATTCTTAAATTTTAAAACTTATCTCTGTGAGTTTGAGGACAGCCAGGGCTACACAGAGAAGCCCTGTCTCACAAAAACAAACAAAAAACCAACAACAACCCAAAAAAAAGGTTAAAACTCAAAACTGTTATTAATATGGAGGAAGTAGCCTGCAGAATCCAAGTGTCACAGACATTTCAAATTTCTTTGGTTTAGTGCTGAGTTTTACTCCCATCTTCTCTCTTGGTCTTACCTTTGTATTCTGTTCCTTTTAAGTGGTACCTTAATGTGACTGTACCCTTATGCATGGGAGTCTTTTCATGATAACCTCAATTTTTTTAAAGATTTATTTTTATTTTATGTCATGCATGTCTGTGCACCTTATGTGTGCAGTGCCTAGGAGGTCAGAAGAGGGTGTTGGACCCTCTAGAACTGAGTTACAGATAGTTGTAAGCTGTATGGGTGCTGAGAACCAAATCTAAGTCCTGGAAAAACAAGTTCTCTTAACCACTGAGCCATCTCTCCATCCCAGTAACCCCAGCTCTTTACAACATAGCTTCTGAATTTTTGAGTCTAACTCTGTAGCCCAAGCTGGCCTTGAACTCATGGCCATCTTCCTTACTCAGTCTCTTGAATTCTGTAGTGCAGGCATGAGCCACCACGCCTGGATACAATAGATTTTTATGAATGGGGAAGACAGAGTTTTGTTGTTTTTACTTTTGTTTTTGAGTTAGGGTCTCATGTAGCTGATGTTGGCCTTAAACTTCTGATCTCTTTGCCACCACCTCCCGAGCTTGATGTTAGACATGTGCTACCGTGCCTGGCTTGAAATTTAATTTTTAAAATTTCTTACAACTATAGATTAAGTGTGGGTAGGAAATTAATAATTGGTGTGTATTCTGCCAAGCCCAGCAACCTAAGTTTGATCTCCAAGACTCAAGTTGTGAAAGGAGAAAACAGACTCCCCAAAATGTCCTCTGACCTCCACATGCATGCCATGGCAGGTGTGCACGCATATAGACACACACATACATACATACATACATACATACATACATACATACATAATGTAATTTTAAAAAGAAAAACTCATTAGGGCCAGTTTATTAAAACAGTTATTCATTTTGTTTGTTGTTTTGGGTTTTTCAAGGCAGGTTTTTCTGTAGACCTGGCTGTCCTAGAACTCACTCTGTAGATCAGGCTAGCCTGGAACTTAGATCAGCCTGCCTCTGCCTCCCAAGAGTTGGGATTAAAGGCATGCACCACCACCACCTGAGAGTCAGTTATACAAATTTTGAAGAACAGCTGATAAATATAAAAATAGAATATCTTTGTAAATGCATCTTGAATAAAGAGAGCAGACATAATTTTTAGATTTTTTTTTTCCTTATTTTTTTGAGACTAGGCTGGCCTGGAACATCCCCAGCTAAGATTATAGGTGTGTGCCACCATGCCCAGCTTAGATTTTTTTAAAATAGGCATGAGAAATTTTGTTTCGATTTGTCATTATCATTCAAGATTCGGCATTCCTTTTGAATCTTCTACAGATATACCAGTGATCTTTGTAGATGATTTAGTATCTGTCAGGTAACCATAGGCCCTCCTGAGTAACAACAGAAAAACTTTTAGTCATTAGAAGTGGCTATTCTACTGTCATTTGTTTGGCTCTAGAGAGTCTTAAACCTTAGTGCTGAAGTTAGATGCCATGCCTTTCTTTTCTCAAATGGGAGCTGGCTGATTATAAAGGTACTGACATCCTCAACAGAGCAGTTGTAGAAAGAATTCCAGCTGTTAGGTGGACATCTGTGAAGCTCAGGAGGGAAGGTTTCTACTTGTAGCCTGCTCAGCATGCTCTGGACCTTGGCTTATTTAGTTTTGCTAACTGTAATAGTGTGTTTCTGTATCTTTGCTCTGTCTCTTGTCAAAATTTTGCCTAAGGTTAAGAGATACTCAGTTCACCATATCCCTTTCAGAAAACACACACACCTGGCAGCCTACACACACATTTGGTGTGTTGCGTGCTAGCCTGTTCATTAAATCTTATTTATATCAAAGTAACAAGTAGGTACTGATGAGGCTGCTTCCTGGGCAAGCATACAAGCAATAAACAGGACCTAGCCACACCCAGGTCACTGTGTGATGTCAGATGTTGCTTGTGAATCCCTTGTCTGTTGTTTTTAAACCTTGAGATATGTTTGTTGGAGCACCTGACAGAAGATGCTGGAAGACGTTGTGTGTGTGTGTGTGTGTGTGTGTGTGTGTGTGTGTGTGCGCGCGCTTTTAGAAAACAAATATATTTAAAGTGTCTATATATTTTGCTGCTATCATCACTCAGATTATCTTTAAGCTAAATGTCTTTAGCTGCACAGGATGAATTTGATACATGTCTAATAGGCACCAGGTATCTTGTGCTTTATAATTTTGCATTGGGTCAGTTAGAGACCAGATTACACAAGTGCTTCTTCCACACATTTAAGAAGCATGTTGTTAACTCATTTCTGTTTCTATCCTTAGTGTTCTCCGTGGCCTGACACTCCCACAGCCTATGTGAATAACAGCCCTTCCCCAGCGCCCACATTCACCTCCTCACAGCAGAGCACGTGCAGTATCCCAGACAGGTATCTGGTTTGTGTGGCCGTGTGCTTGCACTTAACCGTTGCTCCTGCAAGTCCCCATCCATGCGGCCTCATTAATGTGTGTCTGTGTGTTGGGTGGTGGGAAACAGCCTGTATTTAGGTCATATGAGTCTTCACCTGACAGTCTCTGTGCATCTCGTCCTGTGTCTCACTTTGATAGCAACAGAAACTGCAGAAAGGGTTGGAGGGGCATTTTCTCCAGAGATGGAAACAGGAAGATTTTGAGTTTGAGGCCAGCTTGAGGGCTGTATAACAAGACCCTATCTGAACAGAGAGGGAGAGGAGTTTTTAAGATTTTAAGAGCCAGGGAATTGTCTTTGAGAGATTTAAGAAATCACTAACGGGATACACAGTTAAGGACACGGTGAGTGGTTGATGTGAGGCTCTGATATGAATATGTTAAGATTACATTAATTACAAAGCACAGTGGGCTTTAAGTTAACCACATGACATAGGTTATTTTTTTTTTTTTTGCACTGTTTCATACCCTCTCAGCTAGTGTAGTTTTAGTTGAGTATTTAATATTAAAGGACTTTGGGTTTTCTTAAGACTTGTGGCTTTCGAATCAGGACCTCTGGATTTTGTTGAATGTGTTACCTGGCAGTTGAGGGTCCAGGGAGCTCTGAGTGGGAGCTGTATAGGCCTGAGGCTTCTATAAGCCTTCAGCTCCTGCAGCCTTGCTGGAGGACAGTAGTTCAGAACTTCCTGCTTTTAGGAAGTTTCTTATGGAGCAGAAAAATTATAAAAGCTTGAGAGAGCAGGGCAAAGTTCTCTTTAAATGCTCTAGTCTTGTTAACAGGGTCTGGTAAGAAAAACTACAAAATCCTTCTTTTTCTCTGTAGAGATGGGAAAACTAGCCAGGAGCCTGTTTTCATACAGCAGTTTTGTCTACAAGTAGAAAAATTCATACCAGGTGTGGTGGTACACACCTTTAATCCCAGTACTCGAGAGGCAGAGGCAGGCAGATCTCTGAGTTCGAGGCCAGCCTGGTCTACAGAGTGAGTTCCAGGACAGCTAGGGCTGTACCAAGAAACCCTGTCTGTTAAAACAAAAGAACAACAACAAAACCAAGTAGAAAAATTATCATGGACAAGGGAGACCAGAGAGCCAATGTGTGGCACACAAGTCTCTTCTGTTTCCTGTCTGGGTGTGTTAACAAATTGCTGTGATCTGAGAGATGAGCTTTGAATCGTATACCTTAGTTTTCAAGATGTTTCCTGAGAGCCCACTGTGTTCCCAACATGGTCCCAGGGGCTAAGATATTTAGATGACCAGACAAGTTCCTGTTGGAAGGGGCTTAAGTTCTGGTGACTCGAGAATAATGTAAGGTATAGGCAGTGGAGAGCTGGTGCTGAGAAAGGAACCCTGCTCAGGAATGGGCAAGGTGCCTGTTCTCTGAAATTATTTGCAGTTTTCTTTATACCTTAGACTCACTCACAAGAATGGTAACAGGTGTTTGTTTCATTTCCTCATTTCTCATGGGTGGCTATATTAATTAAAGACAGAGCTGTCTATTTAGTTAGGATCACTGTTTCTTAGAGCCTATTTTATTAGTGTTCTACAGTTACTTTAGCCGTATCTTACTTAATTTCCCGTATTTTCCTAACTCAAATGAATGCATACCTTCCTCATTTTCCTGGCACCCATATAAGAACTCAAGGGCACACTCCACAGAGTGCCCACCACACACAATGCTGCTGTCAGTCTTGTCAAGTCCTCTGTGCTCGCCCTACTGTGTGCAGCCTCTGCAAGCTTAAACAGCTCTCTCCACAGTGTTGTCCTATTTCAAATGACCTGTGCACTAACCTTTCGCTTCTTGACTTAAAAAAAAAAGTTAAAAACTGTTCCTTTTCCTTTCTCCAGCAATTCTTCATCCCCAAATCACCAGGGAGATGGAGTTGCACAGGTGTCTGGGGAAGTAAGTATCTTCCTTGGAAGTGTTCAATACTGCTAAGGTCCTGCACTTTAAACACTCTGACCAAGTTGTGTGGGTTGCTCAGTCATCAGCTGTGTTCTCTCTTCAGACTTAAGGCCCTTTGAGTTTTGCTTTTAAACATTCTTCATGACATGCCAGTGACTTGGGGTTTGTTTTAGTTTGGGTTTTGGTTTTTGTTTTTAAGCTTGAATGGTTTTGTCTATGCTCACTTTTTTTTTCTTCATTAATAGCAAATCCAGCCTTCAGCTACAACCCAGGAAACACAGCAGTGGCTGCTCAAAAACAGGTTCTCTTCCTACACAAGACTGTTCTCTAATTTTTCAGGTATGTGTGGGTGCATGACAATATTTTATTTGTGTGTTTTTGTGGTTTTATTAACTAAGAATTTGTCCCCCGGTTTTCCTCGGTTGTGACTCCCTGTTAAATTCCTTCCAAACAAGGAAATTAACATTGTTCCAGTCCACTCAAGACAGTTTTATGTGATACTTTCATTCTATTTATTTGTAATACTTTAAAATTATGTGTGTATGTGTGTGCCTGTGTCTAGGTATATGCATGTGAGTGTGGGTGCCCATAGAAGCCAGAAGTATCAGAACCCTGAAGCTGGAGTTAGTGGTTGTGAGTTCCCCAACATGAGTGTTAGGACCTGAACTGTGGTCTTAACTGGTGAGCCATCTCCCCAGCCCCAATTCTAACTTACTTTGAGATAATATTTTTTTTATGATAAACTATAAAGACAGTTTGAAGATGATCCAACACGCATTCCATTCACTCAGTGTCTCACAAAATTATAGTATTACAACCAGAAGTCAGCACCATCCTGGGTGTGTAGATCTGGCAACTGTGCTGTGAGTGTAGATCTGTGCAGCCACCACTGCAGATAGATACAGAAGTAGGTGTCCGTCTGCCCAGGTGCTCTCTCTGTCCTGCTGCATCTTTGTAAGATCATTCTTCCCCCTATCCACACACACCTTTCCCACACACACTGAACTGTCCTGCCTATGACTTGGTCATGCTAAGAATGTTAAATAAATAGAAGCCTACAGGATATGGCCCTTTGAATCTGGCCTTTTCTTCCTTGGCCTTATGATCTCAGATCCTACAAGGCTGCCCTGTATTCTGTGGTTTTAGCCTTTTCACATAGAGCAGTATCTCATTTGTGTGCTTTTGCTCAAGTGTGGGTGTCATAGACAGCCTACTCTTTTTCTGCACAGGAAACTAAAGGAATGCTCTAGTGGGACTTTAGGTGTCAAGCAGCATTGCCCCAGGTAGTATGGTTGTTTGGAGAGCATGCAGGAGGCAGGGGCAGTCTTCAAAATGTGTGTGGCCCTTGTGCCTTTCCCCATAGTACATTTGCTAATGTGTCCTGGCCAAACATTCTGAGAAATGCTGGGCCACAGAGATGCAGCAGCTAGCATTCCTTTTGCGTGTGTGGGGGGCCACTGAAACAGTTTTAAGAGGACAGACATGTATGCACATACCCAGCTGAAGGAAACAAACAGTGGGTTTCTATTATGTCATTTATTGTATTGTCTGTGCTTTGAGGAGTTACTCCTTGTGTAGCTCTTGGACACTAAAGTTAAAATGCCACATGGAAGTAATTTGCTAGCTGTGATCCACATATTTATATGATTAAATAGAGCCTTTAATGTGTGAATCACAGAATTCAAGATGAGGGGAGAGGGATTTCATGAACCTTTATAGGACAAGCGGATGGAAAGCACAGCCCATAGAACCTCCTCTGACAGCTGGAGCCTGCCCGTTATGCGAACCCACGTGTGTTCTGTGGAGCTGTAAGATTTTGTCCTTGTGTACAGTGATCACAGGGCTTGGCATTCTGCTTTTTCCTTAACCTGGGGGCTTCCTTTGGCTCATGCAGAGCTGCCCTTTGGCACATCACCTGAGCCACAGCACTTAGAGAATGGAGAGGACAATGAGATCTCTTACAGTCAGTCACATGTCAGAAAGAACTGTGATACACCATCTGTCCCTTTCTCTTCTTGGGTTACAGTTGTCACAACTGGGAGCCCTGCCTCAGAGCTGTGTGTAATGACTCCAGTAGATGAGAGAACCTCTTTCTCTGCTAATTCATTCCAAGAGTGACTCCATAATGACTCACGGCATGGGCGTTAGGATCTCTGGTTTTGATTCTCTTTACAAACTAGGACTCCATCAGGCTCACCCTTTTGAGCCTATGAACATAAAGACAACCCCGTTATCTTGTTACATATGGGAGTAGATATAATAAAAAGTATGGAAGGCATGTGAAGGACTTCCTTTCACCACTCCAACTTAGCTGTTGCCCAGTGCTTGTGCAGTCTTGTATCCATGTCTCCCTTACACACACTGGCCTTTTCTTGCTTTAAAGGCCAAGGACTTATGGAGGAGATCTTAAAGAACAGAGTGATTCTCTGCTAGGCTTGCGTTCCTATTAGAATTAGCTGTGGAGATGGAGCTGTAACAGAGTGTCGTAACTTAAATTGTGTAATGAGACCTGGTCTCCACTTTGCTTACCACTCACTGGTGGCTTTGGGCAAGTTCTCCAGATGCTATGATTCCACTTACTTTAAAAAAAAAAAAAGAGAGCCAGGCAGTGATGGCGCACGCCTTTAATCCCAGCACTCGGGAGGCAGAGGCAGGCGGATCTCTGTGAGTTCGAAGCCCGCCTGGTCTACAGAGCGAGACCCAGGAAAGGCGCAAAGCTACACAGAGAAACCCTGTCCCGAAAAAACTAACTAACTAACTAAATAAATAAATAAATGGAAAGATTGCGGGGGGGGGGGGGGGGGGGGGGGGGGGGGGGTCAGAAACATGGGTAGTCACAGCCCAGCAACAAGGAAAGAAAGGCAGTATGGGAGTATTGTATTGAGAGCACATGGGCCTTTTGACACCTTGTTACCTTAGCACGTTGTTGCTCAGAAGGACAGATGTGTGTTACTTGTGGGTGTGTGTAATTCAGGACACCTGATGCTGCTTAAAAGGACAGAACCATATGAAGACAGAGCCCCATGAAGCACCTGCTGTATCCATCCCCTGCTTATTTGAGGATCTCTCTGCTGTTTTCCAGGTGCCGACTTATTAAAGCTGACAAAGGAGGATTTAGTTCAGATTTGTGGTGCAGCCGATGGAATTCGGCTCTATAATTCCCTAAAGTCAAGGTAAAATACTATAGACTGTTCTGCGAGAAATGAGAATGGACCTTTCTCTGCGTGGGGGATTTGGTGGGCAGAATGTGTTTCCACGCTAGGTTGGCGTGTGCCTGTGTGCGCCACCGAGTATCGGCAACATCGTGCTCACGAGAAGACTGTTTTGTGTACACCTTCAGGGCAGGCACTGATGAGGGCAGAGGTAGACTAAGACTGGTAGCAATGCACATGGGCAGGACTGATTTCTTGAAGACGACTGGGTTTGTTGCCAAGAAAACAAAACTTCTAATTTAGGTGAGCTCTACAGAATCTATGGTTTTCAAGGTCATGATTATTGTTAAGCAGTTATTAAATGTGAACTTGTAACTGTCGATTAGAATGCTCGAACTGTGGCTGTGCTGGCTTTGAGACCTACTGCCTGCCATTCCTGTCTCTAGACTGTGTGGTGAGAGTTTAGTAACTCGAGCCTTACTCATTGCAGATTGCTTAATCAATCTTGAAACTTAAATTTACCAGCATCTGACAGACCATCTCAATGGTTTAGAGTCTGGACCTGTGGTAGTTGTTGTGAGGTGTGTGGTTTTATATTTTTATTAGAAAATTATCTTGCATAATGAAAAAACACTGTAAAGTTCTCATAAGGAAAAATAGACCTTAGATTCCTGTAGTTGTTGATTGTACATGTGCTGAGGCCACTTCCTCTCCTAGTCTCATTGATGGCATCTTCTGATTTACAGGTCAGTTAGACCCCGCTTAACCATCTATGTCTGCCAGGAGCAGCCGAATAGCACTGTGCTGCAAGAGCAGCCACAAGCTGCCGGCAGTGGAGGCGAGAATGGCAGTGGGACACCCTGCGGTGGGTATTGAGGGCACTTGAGGTCTCCTGTCCTTCCTAAGACTGTCAGAAATGAACTGGTAGAGGTCCCACTACAGAGTTGACAGAGGCAGCTGTAGGGCTATGTCCTTGGGGAAGGAAGAAACTAGAACCTTCCTTAGGTCTCCGCTGTGCATGCTGTAGATCTCTTTTTTATATAGCTCTATGCATGAAATACCAGGAAGCAATACAATAACTTGAACATGTTGAGACCTCTCCAAATAAATGTAACATTGCCAGCTTGCTGGGGAAACAAGAAGGTTTCTCTTTCTTCCCCCATTTCACTGACTAGATGGGGAGAGAGGGCCTTATCACACATGAGCAAAAGGGAGTCTATTTAGCAGTCTTCCTCCAGTGTAGACCCATCTGGGGTGAGCTTCCATTGTGTTCCATGCAGGTCGGAAGGTGGGTGCTGTGTCTTTGGTCAGGTTTAGTTAGCACAGTTGCATCGCTTACCTTGTGAGTGAAGAGGGCTTCTTGTCCTGCAGATTTATCTCAGTTGGACAATATGAAGAAGTCTGGCCTCTCCTGTCTCTTTCCTCCCTCCTTTGAATATAAAAATTTTGGGAAAGGGAGAGGCTAGACAACGTCTTACTAAGTAGTCTAAGCTGACCTCATAGCTGCCATTCCCCTGCCTCATCCTCCAAAGTACTGGGATTACAGATGTGCATCACCACACCTTCCTCTCACTTGTACGGTGGTAGTAATGTTCCCTATTCTCACATTCTGAACAGAATGAAGGTGACACTCAGCTTCAGAGAAACATGTATTATGGAATTCAGAGAGGCAGTTACTTACCCTGATTGTGGGTAGAGCTCTGAAAAATACTTCGTGGCTTGGATTTCTTTAAATAATTGGAAGAGTTGTAAATCACAACTCTGGGCCTTTCCATTTATGTCCTTTAACTCCAGGTATGAGCTGTGACTTTTAAGATGGCGGACACAAATTCTTAAAGGAGCCCTCCTGTGTCACTTCATCGTACACATCATCCCATGTTTGCCAGAGTATAGTGTTACGGAATACGTGTCCTCAGAGATGAGTGCTGGCAGGGATGAGGGATAGGTGGAGACACTGGACACCTTTATCCTTGACCATTCACATTTAGTGAACTTCAACCACAGGGGCTTTTCTGCACTGAACTCTGCCGTCACAGCATGTGAACAATGACTTTGACCCTGTTCCCATAAACAGAAAGTTGCTTCCACTTAATTAAAAGAGCCAGAGGGCAGGAACTGGTCCCCAGTCATTGAGATGGTAATCCTTCAGAGTTACCTTTAGTTTTGAGTTTTAATCCAAAGCTTTTCCAAGTGCGTAATTAGTGAACATTCCTGTACACATAGTTGCTCATTTGGGAAGCCAACTTTTCAGTTCCCCTATTGCAGATCCATGTCTGGCTTGAGTCAGTGGTTGAGCAATAACCTCTTGAGTGACACTCACACTGCTGAGTTTAAGTCATGGACATAAATAACAGAAACGTGGATGTTGAACTGAGGCTGGGACTTTCCCTAAAACAGAAGCAGACTTCGTTGTCTGTATCCTTACCTCTCATGTGGTGTTGTCTCCATTTCTTTTGATTGGGTGTATATATAGGAGGTGACACAGGGAATTGGTGCTCTTAAATCCTCAGTTGGAGAATTACTGGTTCAAACTCCTTTTAGAGTTCTTTTTATGCATTATTAGAAACACGTTGTTTTTTAAAAAAAAAAAACAGCTTGCTTGTGACATAATTTGTACAGCAGGCACCTCCCATTGTGTCTACAACACAATGACATCTTAGCTCATGCACAATTTTTTCATCCTTTGCCCCAATCCATTGTAAGTTTCATTACCCTGATCCCTAATGCTCTTTTTGTTTACCCCCCTAGACAAGGTTTCCCTGTGTAGCCTTGGCTGTCTGGAACGCACTCTGTAGACCAGTCTGGCCTTAACTCAAGAGATCCACCTGCCTCCCAAGCACTGGGATTAAAGGAGTGTACCACCATCCCCAGCTGATGCTCTTTTTTTTTTAACCCTTAATATATGAGACTTTGTTGCAAAAAAAATATAAAGTCACATCGTATAGTACAGGATTAGTATTTATTATACATGACCATAAATAATGTGTTCTTTACTTCAAATAAGTGGGTCGAGATCTTAAGAGGTCAAAGAAATGTTACCTTGTCCCTATTTCTAGTTTGCATTTTATTACTTTGGCACTTTGAAAAGGGTGACTGTATAGGTCAAGCATAGATCAGATCAAACATTATTGTTAAAGTGCTATTTTTCTTTTTTTTTCAGTTTATCATGCAATCTACTTGGAAGAAATGGTTGCCTCAGAAGTTGCTCGAAAACTTGCCCTGGTGTTTAATATTCCTTTCCACCAAATTAACCAGGTTTACAGACAGGGCCCCACTGGTATCCACATTCTTGTTAGTGACCAGGTAAATCAAGCAGGCAGTAGTCACTCTTCCTGTCCCAGTGGTACTGGTCTACATTGTTGGAACTATAACAAATGCTGCTGACTTCTTTTGCAAGTCTTAGTCATTTTTAAAGAGCTGGGATCAAAATGTGTAGGAGTTTATAACCAAGAGTTAGAGCATCTTAGTAGAGAAGGGATAGTCGGGGAAAGCAGACTGAGCTTCCCTAACCTTTTTGAAATACTTTTTGGGGCTCTAAGGTTAGTGACAGGCTTCTGTCCTTCCTGGGAGGTGAGGCATTAGATATATTTTACACATTATTGGAAGAGCAGCATTTTTAAAACACGTAATATTACAAATACAGCCTGCCCCCTGCTCAAGCTGTGTTCACTGACAGGCAGAAATAACAGGGAAACAGTCTGCATAATCTTTAAGTCAGTATCCATAGGACCTGGCACAGCATTCTCCTCAGTGGCTCCAGGGTAACAGGTGTAAACTTTGACTGTCTCATACTGTCATCATGGATTATTTGGATCCTATATTTGTGTAAGAAAGATGTAAGGATTATGCTGTAGTCCTTTAGCCACAGATTTAATCGTGTATGGTTAGTTAAGAACTGGTGGGTCTTATACACTTACACGTCTGCTTTATCTTTCTAGATGGTTCAGAACTTTCAAGACGAGAGTTGTTTTTTATTCTCCACAGTGAAAGGTACTTTCCATGTATGTCTGCCTCGGCATGTTGTGATCATGAAGGACAGTGTGACCCTGATAGTAGCTCTCTTGTGTGCGCATATTCTATTTTTGTTTGTTTGTTTTTGTTTATTCCAGACAGGGTTTCTCTTTGTAGCCCTGACTGTCCTGGAACTAGCTCTGAACACCAGGCTGGCCTCCTCTGCCTCCCGAGTGCTAAGATTAAAGGCATATGCCACCACCGCCTAGCTATGTGTGAATATTCTTGAAAAAGATGTCTTAGCTAATTTTAAGAGGTTGGAACATGGACGAGCAGTAATTTTAGTGTTTCTAATAGAAATGATCTAGTAGCTGTAGAAAGGGTTGGTTTTTCTAGGTGACTGTCCATTCGCCAGTGTCTGCTGAGCATCACATCCCAGACTGTTAGTGCTTGAACAAGACCAGGACAGGGGGAGTCAGAGTTGGCCACAGGCACAGACGATGACCAGTATTAAGTGCTGTGAAGAGAAAGTGGGGGGCTAATCAGGGAGGGGAAGCATGGCGCTGTTACAGAAGGCTTTTCTGAGGTGATCTGAAAAATGAGCTGGCCACAGGACTAGCCCAAGGGCAGCGTGGGACTGTGCAGAAGAATGCACTTGGCTTCTGTGAGGCCTGGAAGAACGCCATGCAGCTGCCATGTAGGGTAAGGGTGAGTGGGGTCAGGGAGAGGCAGGCCCTGTTACAGTGATGGCTGGTGATGATGGTCATTGACTCTTACTCAGATGGCTTGGGAAGTTAGTGAAGTGGTTTAAACAAAGGAATAATGGGGTTGGGTTTTTCTTCTACAACTGTGGAAATAACAAGATGGCAAAACTGGAAGGTAGGCAGTCTGTCTAGGCCAGAGGTAACGGGAGTGTATGGACATGTGGACAGAGCTCACTGGGCTCCCTGTTTGATGGGGAGTAGTTGGGATTGCCAGGGCAGGTGACTGCCTCATCAGAGAGGTAAGTAAGGTTGATGCAAAATAACTTGGTGTGTCAAGCAGGCAGCTAATTGTACCATTCTGAGGTGCCTTGGGCTTGAGGTACTAATTTACAAATTTTTGGATGTCAGTAGTGACTGAGAGCTTGGCGGGCTGTACAGCGCTAATTAGGGAGCAGTGTGGGAAGAGGTCCAGGTCAAGTGAGCTCCAAACTTCAAAGTTAGAGAGGGAAGGGATTCGTGAAGGCAGAACACGGGTTAAGATGGCCTCAGCACAGACTCCTCTCCCCTAGAAGAGGACAAGGTCTCAGGTCCCCCTTTTCTGGTAATCGTTGCAAAGAAGCAGCCCAAAAGGGTTAAAATGACAAATTTCTTTTTATACCTGATGGTGATATATGCCACTGGCCATCAAGCTACCTGCAGATCTAAGGCAGCAGTGAACTGGCTCACTTCTTAGTCATGTGCAGAAACAGCTTTCATTTCAAAACTGTATAGCTTTTGTCTTACAAAATTCCAGAAAACCCAGAAACCCATGCTTAATCACATACTTGTATCTTGTGAAACTCGTGGCTCTTTACAGAATTAGTCCTTACAAGACTTCTCTCCAGTCTTAGTTTACTGTTTGTGAGACTTCGTCCACATGAAAACCTCCATTTCTGTTTTCAGGAATGTCTTCACTGCATCTCACAGTTTTCTGAGGCCATTAGGCAGTCTTGCTAGGTATCTATCTGCCTCTGAGGATTCAGTTTTCCAGGAAAGAGAGATGCAGGCTGCCTGCTCATCTGGTGCAGGGCTTTCTCAGCTCTGCCCTCACACAGTGCTTTGGCCTAGTGTACATAAAGGCTATCTGTGCTGTCCTCCCAAGCCCTTCCCTGGAGGGCAAGCAGTGCAGGGGCAGGGGTCCCAGAGCAGTGTGTTCCAGGGATGCGTACATGGAGTTGTCCCAGGGAAGCAGAGCTAGAGCAGAGCAAAGCAATTAGCTTTTTATCAAGCTGGAAACTCTGAAGCAGATTGTACATTTCCATCTTTAATACTGTTTCTTTTCTAAGTTTAGGGTTGTTTTTTTTTTTAACTTTTTCCCTTTTTTTTTTTTTGGCAGCTGAAAATAATGATGGTATTCACATAATTTTGAAGTGATACCTTATACAGACTGAACTCTATTCAGTACCAAATAAAGTCATGCTTAAAAGTGTGTGAAGACTGAATCCAAGAAGTCTTGGGATTGGATTTTACTGTGAAATGTTTCATATTGAAAACACAAGATGACCTTCCTAATGAGCTGTAGGAGAGACAAGTCTCCTCATTGTCACTGCCACAGCCCAGTACCCTCATGAGAGCGAGCACATCAGTCAGCGTGCAACCAGCTCCCGGCCCGGCGCGGGCACAAGGGCCCACTTCCCTAGCAGGGCCAGCGGCCAGAGTTCCCGAAGCAGTCTCTGCTGGCTTTTGACACTGTAGCGGTTTGAAATGAATGTAAAAACTCAGCCGTGGGCATTTCCCTTTCTGTGCCAGTCTGGCTTTTGTTGCCTGACCCTTAGCTGACCTGGGGCAGAGACAGGGTGTGTTCTCTGGGGAGCTGTGCTGCAGACACAGCGGCATTGGTCAGGTAAGAGGCTGAGCACCTTCTCAGAAGTGATCGTGTCTGAAGTTGTGCATCCAAGGGGATCGTGCCAGACCAGGGAAGAGGCAAGCAGAGGAGATGAGCAAGCTCTCCGCAGTACCTTGGTGTGAGGTCAGTGTAAACCCTAATAGGTACAAAGACTTGGGTGTTCGGCTTTCACTTCTATGTTTAGCCTTTTAGTTTTCAGATTTCACCTTTTAAAACCCCGTTGCCTTTTAAACTCATGTGGTTTCCTCTTCTCATCTCCCCTATTTTCCACCCCATCCCCGCCCCATACACACTTAAGCCTCCCAAGTAGCTGGGACTCCAGGTGTGCACTCACTTGTTTTGTGCCTGGCTCTGTTCTTAAACATGTTTAAAGCCCTTCCCCAGACATTAGAACTAGGTGATGTAACAGGGGAAACAAAGTATTATTGTTGATAGCTTCTGACTTGGTGTTAAAGGGATCTTTGTTTTGAATGAGACACAAGTACCCATGGAAACACTAGATGTCACAACAAGACACTAAAATGTACCATAACCCCCCCACTCCCCTCAGATGCCGAGTTTCAGTACAATCATGGATATCTCGCTGGTGATTAGTTAGGGGCTGTTAAGGTGTCCTGCATCTTTGCTGCTTTGTAACAGGTGTGCCTCTTTATAGGATCACATGTGCTCGCACACCACTCTCAAGGGAGTCTTTGCCTTTTCCCTCCCCATCACCACCTCTCCAGAGTTCATCAGCAAACATTTTGTGAGGCCTGTGGCAGGTCTGAGTTTTAAAAAACTGTTTTCCATTTTAATTAATTATGTAGCATCTCTGCCCATTCGCTCAGCTGCTGGCTGTGAATGTCTGTCTGACCCTTGTTCAGGTGGGTAGGAATGACTACTTCAGTGGGTAACACGGCTTTAACGTCTTGCGTTTTATTCATAATGGGGGTTAATTATTTGCCACAAACTTGACTGTCTCCATGTTTTCATCTTGGGCTCGGCAGTGCTGTGGCTCTGCAGTCCTTGAGGAGGGGAGTGCTCCCATCTGCCCTTCCCTTTGCTCTTGTGACCACATGCTTTCTGTACCAGTCACTTATTTGGGGAAGAAGCGAATTTATCTCTGAATTGTTTTTAGAGTTTTGCTTGTCTGTTAGCTTTCTTTTTTGGATCTCATGATTTATGGAACAATAAATGTCATTCAATGCTGTGTGCTATTTTGAATTCCTTATCAGGTTTTAGAAGTGGGGTGAAAGTACTTACAAGCTCCTCAGACTTGAAAGTGTGCTGAGCAGCACAAAGTGCTAGTCTGTCTCAGTGAAACTGTATAGAACCCACAGCACCAGCAGTTTGCTACTTTGGTTACTAGGATGTACAGTTGAGTGTAATAAATGTTTTCTGATTGTTTTGTAAATGTGTCACTCATTTAAAATCTAAGTTGTACTACTGCCATCTCAGGCCACTCTGTGGGCTGCCCCTGCCCTCTCTTTGCTGCTGCTTTCCACAAAGGTGATATTACAGGAACTACCCCACCTTACAGAAGGCAAGTCAAGCTTTCTGACAAGGGGTTCTTCTAGTCTGTGAGTGAAGGTGTGGGCACCAAGTCCTACACTGATGATAGGCTGCACTCGAGCTCAGAAAGATGTATGGTTGTTTCTAACGTTTAATAGAAATAAGTTCATGAATCACTAAAGCAAGTCTAGTACACGCTTCACGCTCCCCCCCCCCTACAGTTACTTAAATAGTAAAATTGTGATATTCATATAGCCTTCAAACCAGGGAATACTGCAACATGTCACGAGGTAGTCAAACCCACAGTAAGCTAATGCTTACAAGAATTCTCCTAAGGAATTTCCAGGGTATATGTGTGTACTTGCTTTCCCTCTGAGAATGCAGCTGGGGCAGCGTGTACAGAGGCCGTAACCCTGTCCACAGAAACACAGCTCATTTTTGCAGTTTTGGCTGGGGAGTGATTGCTAGGAAGGTTCAGTTACCATTAATCCCTAAAGTCACATTGAAGGTGGTGGTAAATGTCGACAGCATGGAGCAGACAGCAGCCATAGTAAAAGACTGGGCATCCTACCTTAGTTCGGGTAACAGAAATGCCTGCATTTGGAAAGTGGCTTTGCTCACATTTGTCAGCTTGAGCATCACAGCAGTAAAGCCTCTGACCAATTCTAGTGAGCACTGTAAGGGCCTGATAGGAGTTTAAAAGGTGCCAACACTTTACTTGTTTGAGTTTTTCATGTGGGAAGCTTTCATATAGTTCTGGTATGATCTCTAAAAATTCAGTAAATTTGAAAAAAAAATACATCCATTCTACATGCACCCATTCATTATTTTTACTTGATTATATTGTAGATAACTTAAGCCTTAATTCTGTATTTCTTCAAGGTTCCCCCAATTTTTTTTGAGAAGTGTGAACATAATTGACTTTTTTTCCCTTAACAAAAATTCACTGTATGCTGTAGCATATGGCAGGGCTTATCATTTCCAATAGGACAGTGTAAAGTAGGTTGCTTTTGTTTAGTTTTTGGTCTCTAGAATTGGATGTGACAAGTTGACACAAACAGAAAGGTGAAGATCCTGCCCCACCCAGTTTAGAAGTTCTCATTTCTTTGGCGTCTTATGGAAATGTGTTAGCATGCCTTTCACACACGTTTCCACATATGAAACTACCAGCCATGCTGAGTTTGCAGTACAGTCACGTTGATAACGGTGCTATTTAGTCTTCAAAGTGGAAAAGTCCTGCAGACAGTAGGAATCGTTAGGAATTAAAGGAGGCCACTGGCTTAAGGATCGGGTAGAAAACCGCAGACTCTCTGCTCTGCTCAGGTTGTGCTAACACTGAAGGTCTGTGGAGGATGCTGGCAAAGCCGGTGGGGCTCTGTGCCTCGGCACATACCCATCTCTAAAGGGCCCTGGGTTACTTGTGTGGTCCTGTCTGCACCACACCACTCTTGCCACATGGTAACTGACACAGGCTTTGATGTGCTTGCAGCCCAGCCAAGGTTAAGGTGAGTGGTATCACCAGTTACTGTGATCTGTGCCGAAGTCTTTTACCTGTAATGCTTTCCCAATGGAGAGTCAGATTGGGTGATGGTGGCGCAGTTAGGAGACTGGTCTAACCTGGAAGATGGGGCCCTTGGCCTAAGCAGCTGCTGTCAGAGTATGACGCAGCATCTGCACAGTCGATGTCCGCTTCCTGCCACTGCTGGTGGAGGGGTGACTGGAGCAAAGTAGGCGTGGACTTTGACATGAGGAAGCTGAGCCTAGAAGGAGACGGGAAAGGGGGAATAGTCGGCCCTGGTATTAGGATTCTTGGACAACAACCTATGAGAACCTGAAGTCATTTCAAATAGATTCTACCTTAATATTAGGAAGGTAGACTGCTGTAAGCTAGAGCTGCTCCCATCACACTCCCTTCCACCCCCAAAGTCCAGCACCTTCTAAAGACAAGTGGAAACAGTCTCCCAGTGGCCATGATTGCCCATTTGTAAATGGCCCCCACACTTCAAACTTTCCTTAGATGGAAGCTTGCGAAGGTGCCAATCACCAGACTACATAGAACCTCCACCTCCAAGAATAGATGTTTGAAGGGGCCTAAGGAAGTGCTGTGTAATCAGACCAGTTTGCATGAACACAACAGACTGGAGAAGTGGATGTAGTTTCATTTTTGTTTGTTTTTTTAAAGTACAATGTGTGCAGTAGTGTGAGTGTATGCCACAGCATGTATGTGGCGGTCAGAAAACATTTGGGAATTGGTTCTAGTCTACTTTGTGTGTTCTTGGACTTGAATTCAGGAAGACAGCTTGGCACAAGCACCTTCACCTGCTGAGCTCTTACCAGCCAAGATCTTGATTTCTGTGTATCCCTCAGTTGCTAAGGAGGGCCTCACACCTACCCGCATGCGCTTGATGCCTGCACGGGTGACCTGCTGGCAGTCGTACAGCTCCAGGCGCTCCAAGCCACGGCAGTTCTCCAGGTGCTCCAGTGCAGCGTCCGTGACAAGGAGGCAGTTGTCCAGTTCCAGGACCCGCAGTCTCTCATGCCCACACGTGCTGCTGCTCAGGTGCAGGATCCCTTCATCTGTGATGAGCTCACAGTGAGACAAGCTCTGGGGATGGGAAAGAAATGTTCTTTCAGAGGACCCTCATTGCAGGCTCCAGCTAGTAAGAGCTGGCTCCTGAAGTGCCCCGCGGAACTGCTTGCTGTGGTGTGAGGTGTGTGATATGTCCTCTGAAAAGCACGTGCTGGCAATTTTGTGCCATGTGCTGGGGAGGGCCACCTTTATGAATGAATGAAAGATGTAAGGGCTGGTCTACAAAAACCTCATCAGATTGACAATCCCCCAGCATCCAGTACTGCAGGAAACACTTAGTCTGGGGTTTTCTCTAAGACCAGCACAAAATGGCCATGACAGTTTTCTTGTCCAGGGAGGAGCTGACAAGGCCCCGAGTTTGCCGTACCCGGGCCATAGCAGCTAACTTTAACCCAAAATAAGGAAATACATGTTTCAGGGGGGATTTCAGAGTTTACCCTTTGAGCAATTTTATGGCCCAATTCACCATTTGAGTAGAGGCTTCACCAGTAAAGCCAGTGGTTTTGGTGCCCTTGTTCCTTTAAAACATCCAGGGCTGGAGAGGTGGCTCAGTAGTTAAAAGCATGTGCTCTTCCAGAGGACCCAAGTTTGGTTCTCAGAACCCATGTAAGGTGGCTCACGACTGCTTGTAACTCTGGCTACAGGAGGATCCAATGTCCTTGGCTTCCATGAGCACCCACAGTCACATGCACTTATCCTAGCACAGGTATAATACACACATTAAAAAGTGCAGGTGGCCAAGACCCTGACCCATAGTCATACATCATTAACCTCTTGGAAGTAGTAATAATAAAGGTTACAAAAGTAATGGGTAGTTTACACAGCCAAGTTTACTTAGTAACTTTAGACTGGGCAGTTTCTTCACTGTGAAAATGGAAAATCTACACTAATATAAAAGTTCTTCAGAGGGGAAAAGAAACAGAGTGCCTGAGAGTGACTGACACTTACCTGAGGAAGAGACTGAGGTGATGTCTGAGGTATTGGGGCTGAGTAGGAAAGGGCAGGGTATGCTGCAGTGCCCCAGCTGGTGGACAAGAATGTCGGTTCAGAGCTGAGCAGCAGACAGGATGTCCTGGATGGACAGAGGTCCCCAGATGTGCAGGCCATGTAAGCCAATGCATGGCAGAAGTGGAGGTCAGAGGACAGTTGGGGGAATTGGCTGTTTTCTACCACCATCTGGGTCAAGCTTGGCAGTAAACACCCTTCCCCACTGAGCCTGCTCATGGCTTTTCTTTTGATCCCAGGGTTACTGGGACTATGATGTTACACTTCTCAGAAAGCTCCTCAGTATAGAATCCTGTTAATTCTTTAAATGTTAGGAAGAATTTTAAGCAAATCCATTTGTATATGAACACTTGGGGGAGGGGCTGGAGAGATGTCTCAGAGGTTAAGAGCACTGCTTACTCTTCCAAAGGTCCTGAGTTCAATTCCCAGCAACCTCACGGTGGCTCACAACCATCTGTAATGAGATCTGGCGCCCTCTTCTGCCCTGCAGGGATACGTGCAGGCAGAACACTATACATAATAAATCCAAAAAAAAAAAAAATAGTTCCCACTTTAAAAAATAAATAAATAAAAGAACATTTGGGGGAATTTAGAGATTACAAGTGAATTTCCTTAAGAAAAGTTTGGGGGTTATTTTACATCAAATGAGTTATTGGTCCATTTCACCTATGTTGTCAAATTTATGTAGTTGAGTGTATCCATAATGTGAAAATTTTAAATTCTCCAAAATTTAAAAATGTTTGAGTATCACCACAGTACCACAAATAGGAAATCCACAGCCAATCTCCTCAGACAGGCCACAGTTGAACACAGTACAGTAACAAGACAGAAATGAATTTGTTTTTAGCTTGGGCCCTAATCCCAAGCACGCTGTATAAGTGTGTATGACAAGTGTGTAATGAAACAGTCTGGAAGCCCAAACGCCTCTTTGGGTAAGGGACGCTCAGCCTGGACAGACCTGGGGACAGCCCAGCCTGAGGGCCTGTTTCCAAAGTAACAGCAGTGTTGCCATGATGCTGCTGCCTTGTGTGCTTTTCAGTTTCACTCATCTCTACCATGGTCTGTCCCTTGAGTTTGGGCTTTATTTTACTTTTTTCTGGCTTCTTGGATTGAAAAATTAAATCACTGGGACCTTTTTCCAATGCAAGCATTGGTGTCAGAGTCTGCAGAGCGCTGTCTTAGTTCTCCCACACAGTGTGATGTGATTTTCATTCATTCACCTCCCTTTCACTCTCTTGAGATCCCCTTGACTGCTCTTATCTAGAAGCCTGCTCTTCAGTTTCCACGTGTAACCTTTCTATTGCCATCTTGAGCTGAAAGCCTGTAATTCTCTAGTTGAGGTTATTACTCAGTGGGGCTCTGGGACCTGTTCACAGTACGCTCACTGCAGGACGCATCCTTCCCTCAGCTTCTGCCCATGCGACTCTGACTGGGCATCTCAGAGAAGTGGCAACCCCCTACAGAAGAAGACACTTGTCTTTGGGGGAATGGCTTACTTCACTTAGCATCATGTCCTCAAGCTCATCTTGAAGCATGTGCCAGGATTTTCTTCCTTCTGTTGGAACAACATTCTCTATGCGTGTATGCAGCATATTGCATTTAACCTACTGATGCACATTTGGGTTGTTTCCCTTTGGCTGTTGTGGATTAATGCTTTCAATTTGGATGAGCATGGCTGTCTCACATCCCCCTTTCAGGTTGGCTTGGTTCCATTTTGTTGGTGGTGTTTTATTTTTTTGTTTTTTTAACATACCCAGCAACAGCATTGCTGGACCGTGTACTGCAGTTTGTAATGTTCTGAGGACCCACCATGTTGCTTTCTGGGGTAGTGGAACCATTTTCCATCCCACCAGCAGTTCACAAGGGTTCCTGTTTTTCCATGTTCCCCCAGCACTTCCTCTAAAGGAGATCTCCACCACACAGGATCCAGAGCTGAGAATTCTCAGCCTTTGATGAAGCAGTGTCTGCTCGAGTTTCCTGGTGAGTAACTGGCTTTGGTGGCTGGAGAATGGATGATGGTGGTGGTGGTGGCCGTGGCGAACATTGGTCTGTCTGAGGTTTGATTAGCTTGAACCTACAGGAACATTTTACCAACTTTGGAATTTTTAGCTGTTTCAGTTCTAATTGTGATACTGTGACATCTTCTGTTCCAGCTCCCTAAGGCCCTAAACTACCCCTCTTGTTCTTTATTTTCTTCAGGCTGTTCTCACTTGCCACGAGTAAGCCATCTCTGTTTTTGGGTCCTCCACTCTGCTTTAAGGCCGCCCACTGAACTGTGGTTTTAGTTTTCCGAACACTTGAATATACTGAATCTAGTCACAGACATTGACTTTCTGTTGGTTTTACTGTGTTTTCATAATTTCTAGCTGGAATGTTTCTCTGAAGTCCACTTTAAAATGCTTTCATGTTATCTGGACTTGTCATCTTGATGGTGGTGCCCACTGACCATATCTTCTCAGGAGTCCAGATTGTTCTGTTGTATCCCAGATGTTATAATGTCCTATTTACATCTCATTGCACCAGGCCTGTGGCACGATATTGCTGTGGGGTAACACTCTGTTGTCAACATACAGTGGCCAAGAGTCCCCATCCCCAGTCTGATCCGATGCCCATAGGGCAGGTGCCGTTACTGCTATGTAGAGGTGGGTGTTCAGACTCCCAAACAGCCCTGGTGTGGGGGACATGTGACTGCCACCTGGTGAGTGCCTCCCTGTGTGGTCTCCCGTGATACTGCATGTGGGGGCTGGGAGGTTGTTATTGTTACTACTGGGCAAAGATGAGAGATCCTAGCTCTCCACTCACCCTTTACTGGCAGGGTGGGGAAGCACAGTTTTCTCTGGGGCTAGGGGAGAGTTACTGTCAAAGAACAGATTCTTTGGGATTTCTTCCCATCTCTGCATTTCTGGTTGTCAGCTCCTTTAGAACCTAGCTGGGATGTACAAAGCAAAAGCAACCCTGCCCCCCCCCCCCCCCCATGGACTCACTCAGTCCACAGCCCTAAGGTCCCTGCCTGGCTTCCCCATCTTCTCTTGCCTTCTTGATATTTAAATAGAGGCTCTGTGTCTAGCACTTAGTTGAAAATCAATGTAGATGACAAAGCATAAGGAAGTTGTTTTGGATTTTTTGGTTTGTTTTTAAAGGCAAGCTCTCTGTAGACCAGACTGGCCTCGAACTCACAGAGATCCACCTGCCTCTGCCTCTTGAGTGCTGGGATTAAAGGCGTGCGCCACCCAGCTAATAAGGAAGACTTTAAAGCCAAGGCAGGTACTTGAGCAGAGAAAGGAGGCTGTGCTTCTGTACCTGTGCTGGCTTTCCTCTCCTCTGCTGGGTGTTGGGGGTCTGCCAGGAGTCAGAAATGTACTCTCTACACACAGTGCATTGCTTCCTAAGGGACACCTCAGGAGTAGCCTGCCAGCAGAGGTGTGATGAGCCACAGCCTGAGGAATGAGACCCAGTCCCCTGCCTGAGCCTGAGCCTTCCCTGATCTCCAGCAGTCACGCTGGAGATGGTGGTGTAATACTGCAAGAGCTGGTCGGCTGCTGAAGAAGCCACCTGGTACTCTGAGCACACACGAGCGTATCAGGAAGAGGATTTGCTGCCCAGGTCCTTGCTGACTTCCCTCCTCCGATGCCAGATGGCTGTCAAGGCACAGTGTCTTCCTGACAATGCCTGAGCCTCATAGTGGTTGGGATGGTCCCAGCACTCACTGCGCAGGTGCATGCCCTATCTCTGGAGCAGAACCCAAGGGTCCTGTCTGTCCTCCACAGTGACAGTCTTAAACCACAGGCCCAGTCCTTCCTGGAAATCCCACAGCAGGAGGTCACCTTGGATTTACAGAAAGCACGTTGACTTTAAAGGTAAAAATCGATGCACAGATAGAACTAAAGAGTCAAAGGGTAAGATAAAGCGTTAAAGACAGACTATTCCAAAGAGAAATCGAAAATTAAAAGCAATAGTAAATAGAGGTCACGACCCAGCTGTAGTTATCACATTGAACGTCAATGACTAGATCTTCCCATTCAAAGGTAGAGATCTGGGCTCAGGATCAGTTCAGTGGCAAGAGTAGTGCCTCGCATGGCTGAGGCGAGGGAGTAGGAATTAGGCAGGTATGATTGTTCAGGGAGGCTGAGGCAGGACTGTGAACTCCTGGCTAGCCTAGGCTACAGAAACTGATTCCAAACAAAGCCAAGAGTTGAAGGGTGTAGCCTGATGGCAGAATGCCTGTGTGACAGGGGCAGGGATGTGTGATGGGGGCAGGGATGTGTGGCAGGGGCAGGGATGTGGGCTGAGCCTCAGGACTGAGAAGACTTAAAAAGGCCAGCAGGGGAGAGATGACTAGGTGATCAAAAGCTTGTATGCTCTTACAGACAACCCACACAGGGCAGATCGCAACCACCTGTAACTTCAGCTACAGGGAATCTGAACCTTCTGGGCTCTGAGCGCTGCACACATGGTTTTAAAAGTCAGGCTAGGTCAAATTAACACTCAATTCCCTGTCTCTAAGAGACATAAACAGATAAGCTGAAAGAAAAGCACATGCCACTCACAGTATCAACAAGCTGATCACATCCTGTAAAGCATATGATGCCAAAGTTGGCTCATCAGAAAACCACCACCATGGGTTTGTGTGCTTTCTCATCCAATAAGGAAAGCTGACAGTCCCAGCCAGGCTATGGTAGGGGATCTGTGCTGGAGGTGGTGTGGGCTTCTGGGGAGAAACTATTTGTGGGCACATGGGAGGGCCTTATGTCTTCTAAATCTCAACATCCTGAGATGCTTACAAGTTCTAAAGACATTAGGGCACATCCCTTACGCAATGATTCAAGTTTAAGGGGGGAGAACAGGTTGCTGTTGCCTGAATTTCCTGTATTCTCCAATGAGAACAGTCCCTGGTCAGAGGAGCATTTCTCTCCAGACTTGGCTCTGAGGTGGTTTCCACTGTGCATACAGGCCTCACTGGCTGCTAGTTATTCTTGGCCGTTGTCACTTTGGGCTCTTTGATTTCTGGAGTAAGCTTTTTTTGACTTTGTTCTTTGAAATGTGGTCTCTACATGCCGGCCAGGCTGGGCTCACACCTAAAAGTCTTCTGTGTCGTCTTCCCAGGAGCTAAACTCACAGCTGTCACCTCAGCCCACCTGATTCGTGGTGTCACAGTTCAGTTTACTCCTAAGTCCCATTTCTAGAAGCAGCATGTATAAAAAAAGGGCAACTGCATTGAGAGGGGGTTTTGGTCCTCAAACCTAGGGAGAACTGGAAGGCATTCCCAAGAAGGGCAGTGGGTCCTGTTCTCACAGGAACCCCTACCATGACTGCCGTTAGATCTTTCAGAACATGCTCAGACCTCTTTTCCCATACAGCCGAGTGACTATGAAAGGCAAACCTAGCAGGAGGGTGGCCCCAATCTCTGGTCCATGTGAGGGCATTATACATGCCAACTTTCATCGCCCTGACAAGATGAATATGAGGTTAACTGAAGTGATGGGCTTTGGTCCCTACCAGCTTCTCTTCCTACAATGGAAGCAGTAACATGCAGATACCCCACAGCCCAAGTCAGCCCAACAAGGAGATCTTTAGACCAAGAGCGACAGTGGCTTTACAGAAAGGGACCCATATGGCACTTGCTGGGGGGAGTGTCCTTTGCTTATTAAGACATTCGTAAGACATTACTATGGCCAATAACTCGGACTCACCAGGGCTTGCAGCTTGGGACAGTGAATGGAGAGCTGGATGAGGGTGCTGTCAGTAATCTGGAGAGAAACATGCTGTCAGTGTGGCTTCTACGCCAGGACTTCATACCTAATCCTGGCTTCTCCTGAACGTGGGGTCAGAGGGTACAAAAGAAAACTAACACCTCATCCAAGCACACTGGGCTCAAACCGTCGACTCCCGGGGAGGCACACTCTTGTTTGGCCTTGCTTCTGGTGCTGAGGGAGCCTAGACAGGACACAGAAGCAGGTGGACAAAGGAGTTCCCCAGGACACCCTTCTCTGATGCCCTGTCACCTGACATGCAGGTTCATTCCTCTCACAGGCTATGTGTAAAATAAAAGGGATCCGCCGGGCGGTGGTGGCGCACGCCTTTAATCCCAGCACTCGGGAGGCAGAGCCAGGCGGATCTCTGTGAGTTCGAGGCCAGCCTGGTCTCCAAAGCGAGTTCCAAGAAAGGCGCAAAGCTACACAGAGAAACCCTGTCTCAAAAAACCAAAAAATAAATAAATAAATAAAATAAAAGGGCTCCTGCTCATGCTTGGAAATGGATGGCGCTCTCTTGCATGTCCCTGCTATAGGCCGTCTGAAGTTCCCATTACAAGTGGTCTAAAGGGGGCCCTATCCCCACCGCCATGCTGGGGAATGGTAGCCTCTGCTTGCTACTACACCAGGCCCCTAGCAGCAACAGAGCAGCCCAGGGGGCGGCCAAAAGTCCACTCACCAGGACACATTCTTCAAGATCCATCTTCTCCAGGTCATGGCAGTTCTGAAAAAGGCCACAAGACACGTGGAGAGTGGCCCTGCAGCTCCCCCGTTCCACTGAGGAATGGGCCCCACTTCTACAGCCGTTCCAAACCAGCAATTCAGAATGGCTGCCCTGAGTCAGTGCTCCCTTCGGATGATGGCCCTGACTACTGGAGGCCACATCATCCTCTCAACCCAGAGAAGGTTGACACATCTTTCTCACCACAGACTCGAGGAGAACCTAGAAATGGATGCTCTGTCCTGTGGGAGGTAAGGACAGGACACAGACAGGGTACCACAGGCAGTATTCAAGACAGAGGGCAGAGCACGGCCCTGCAGGAGAAGCTGAGCAGAGGCCAAGTTGGGTTCACACAGAAAGGGCACCTGCCACTGGAGAGGAAGTTCTGTTCAAGATGGGTCTCACTGACAACTGAGGGACAATGAGACCTGAACTCCTTCTAGAATGCTCTGCAGGCAGGTCCAAACTGCAGCCTGTGGGCCACACGTGCCCAAGGAGAGCTATGAATGTGGCCCAACATTTTTTCTCAATGCACAGTTCTTAACATGAACTTTGTAACTGACAATGTTAGGCTGAAAAGTTCCACACGCCTTCCAGGATCTCCCTAGAGTCCTGGCTAGCTGAGAAAAAGTGCAAAAACCTCCCAAAAGGATTCTATCCGACCTCATGCTCGTCTCTTCTGAAGCGAGGTTTTGGGTTTGTGCTCCCCAAAACTAAGTAACTTTGAACTATGGGGGGTTAATTACAACACGGTTGTATTTCAAACTCAATGCCTTACCCGAGCTAAGAGTGTAAAGCCTGCGTCAGTCAAATGGGAGCATCGGGCAGCCTCCAGAATTCTGGGAAGGGAGCGAGGGGAGAAAAGCAGCAGAGCCTGGTTAACAACAAACACACTGTGTGCCTGCCGCACATCCCCCAGTCTGCTGTTCAGCGGCACACTGCGCTGCTGTCGCATGCAAACACAGCCTCAGGACCCACGAGTGGCACCAGGATGGGGGACTGGAGCAGAGTCCTTATGTCTCCTCACAGGCCTGGACAGGGACCCAGGAGCCTGCCCACCACTGTTTGCTTTTTTTTAACACAATTAAAATGGATTTTTGCTAAACAAAAGCATGAGTTAATTCTCATAAGAATTGAAACAGGAGGGGCTGGAGAGATGGATCAGAGGTTAAGAGCACTGGCTACTCTCCCAGAGGTCCTGAGTTCAATTCCCAGCAACCACATGGTAGCTCATAACCATCTGTAATGAGATCTGGTGCCCTCTTCTGGCCTGCAGGCAAAATACTGTATACATAATAAATAAATAAATCTTAAAAAAAAAAAAAAAAAAGAATTGAAACAAGACCGTGTGATGGTAGTGAACGCCTTTAATCCCAGCACTCAGGAGGCAGAAGCAGGTGGATCTCTGTGAGTTTGAGGCCAGCTTGGTCTACAGAGTGAGTTCCAGGACAGCCAGGGCTACAGAGAAACACTGTCTCAAAAAACAAAAAAGAAAGAAAGGAAGGAAGGAAGAAAAAGAAAGAAAGAAAACAGAAAGAAAAGAAACAGTTTCACTGGAATGCAAAAAAAAATAAAATAAATATAACTTTCAAACCACCTCTTGTATAGCTGTTTGGGTTAAGACTACTGGTTTTGCAGGGCGCTGGTGACACACGCCATTAATTCCAGCACTCAGGAGGCAGAGCCAGGTGGATCTCTGTGAGTTCGAGGCCAGCCTGGTCTACACAGCGAGATCCAGGACAGGCACCAAAACTACACAGAGAAACCCTGTCTCGAAAAACAAAAAAAAAAAAACAAAAAAAGACTAATGGTTTTGCTAGGCAGTGGTGGTGCACACCTTTAATCCCAGCACTCAGGAGGCAGAGACAGGTGGATCTCTGTGAGTTTGAGGTCAGCCTGGTCTACAGAGTGAGTTCCAGGACAGCCAGGACTACACAGAGAAACCCTATCTCAAAAAACAAATCAAAACACAACAAAAAACCTGCTGGTTTTGAAATAGAAAGCTACAGGTTAAAATTCTTGCTTCCCTCCATCATGAGATGCAGGACAAACTGACTTTCCTCTGAGTCTCAGTTTCTGCTGAGAGTGAGTGTCCACTAACATGGATGTGTTGAATTAAGTCAGAATGGAGTGAGTATCCACTCACGTGGATGTTCTGAGTTAAGTCAGGGCGGCACAGGCCTACAGGGAGCAGCTACTGTCAGGCACCAAGCTCCTGTATGTGAAGGGTCAGTGCTTGGGGCAGTGGACAGTAACTCTGCCTCGGTAACCAACCCTTTTTCTGATATTCAGGAAGACAGCAGGCAAGCAGCTGCTACTTTTCCCAAGTCTACCCCTCTAGTGGCAGGTGCCACAGAGCCCCACCTCAGTCTGTTCACTGTCAGACCACACGAACGGCCAGAGCATAACAGCACGAGTCAAATTGTGGGCCAATGCGTGAAACAGCAAGAAACAACATGTTAAGAGTCATCCTGTGGGGCTGGGGAGATGGCTCAGCAGTTAAGAGCATTGGCTGCTCTCTCAGAGGACCCAGGTTCAATTCCCAGTACCCACATGGCAGCTCACAACTGTAACTCCAGTTCCAGGGGATCTGACGCCCTCACAGACATACATGCAAGCAAACACTACTGGACATAAAATAAGAATAAATAAATCATTAAAAAGATGCTTAAAAAATGTTCTTTAAGCCGGGCGGGGTGGTGGCGCACGCCTTTAATCCCAGCACTCAGGAGGCAGAGCCAGGCGGATCTCTGTGAGTTCGAGGCCAGCCTGGTCTACAAAGCGAGTTCCAGGAAAGGCGCAAAGCTACACAGAGAAACCCTGTCTCAAAAAACCAAAAAAAAAAAAAAAAAAAAGTTCTTTAAAAAGCCATCCTGTTCCACACCTTCCTCCCCTGGTGGGTTTGGCACTGCCTACCCCAGTCCACCCACCAGCTCTTGGTTCCACCACCCCTCTCCCCTCTGGAAGCCTGGTCCTCCTGGAGCCATAGAGCAAAAGTGGGTCATACTCACTGCAATCTGGGGCAGTTCAAGCCCAGGGCCGTGAGAGATGCATCCGTGAGGTTGCTACAACCCGAGAGGCACACAGCCTGCAGCTGGTGGCAGCCCCCGCAGATCTGCACCACGCCCTCATCAGTGATGCGCTGGGGAGAAGGGTACAGGAGTCGGGCCCAGCACTGACTCAGGAGAGGAGACTCAGGCCAGGAGAATGAGCCTCCTGCTGCCCACCAGCACTTCACCCTGACACCTACACAAAACACAAGCAGGCTGGGTGTGACAGCACTCGCCTGTAGTCCTGGCACTAAGAAGGCTGAGGTGGGAGGATTGCCAGTTCTAGCCCATCCTGGACTACATAAGTGAAGCCAAAATAACAGTAAATAAGTCAGTCCAGGCTATCACTAAGTTGGTAGGTGCCTGCCTGGCATGCAAAAGGCTCTCTCTCCCCAAGTTCAATCCCAGTACTACTCAACAAACGAGTAGAGAGAGGCTTCTGCACAGCTATAAACTAGCCTAGTATATTGCTAACACTAGACACTGGAAGTCAAGGTTCTACCCAAAGAGTCATCAAAAGAGACTGTTTTCGGGAGAAATTCATAAACTCATGATAAAACATGAAATAAAGAACTCATGAGACTTCCTAGTTAAAAGACATGTCAGTATGCAGCTAAATGTGCAGACGGTGATTCTTCCTGTACTCACAGAAATCGTGTTGTGTTTACACGTCTATAACATCTCACCAAACAATTTAGAGAAAAGGAAAACTAGTTACTGATAAATTCCTTGGCATTCTATTTCATTTGTCTGTAAAGATCTGGAACAATCTTTGCATTCCAACACACTAATTCATGCAGTCATAAGCATGTACCTATCCTCTAGGCTTCCACCGGCCAGTGTTAACTCTGTAACTAGGGCCTGCCTTTGGCTAGTCCAGGCTGATCTGTGAAGCAGCTATGAACAACTGCTTTCCCTTCTACCGTCAGGCACTCTGAAGACTAGGATTCATTTACCAAAAGCTGAGTGCAAGGTCTTTTTCTCATGTTTCTCAAAACTCTAGGTTCCCTTTGGGTCATGCAGCCCAGGGCTGCACATCCACACAGCAGTGAGGAAGACCGGTAGTCCTTCCAGGGCTACTGCCTAGAGAAGAATGCTGGTTTCTCTTGCACACATTGTTTACAGCACGGCTACGTGCATGCGCCGCGCGTGTGTGTGTGTGTGTGTGTGTGTGTGTGTGTGTGTGTGTGCGCGCGCGCGCGCATGCATGCATGCACAATCTCAGGCCATTCTTCAGGTACTGGCCACCTTCTTTTTTGAGACACATTCTGTTCTGGCTCAGAACTCACCAAGTAGAGACGGCAGGCTGGCAAGCAAGCGGGAGGAATCCCACTGCCCCTGCTTCCCCAGTGCTGGCGTTATAGAACACGCCACCATGCTCAGCTTTTCCACATGGGTTCTCCGGGTCAAACTCAGGTCCTTGTGCTTACCTGACTGGGCTCGCTCCCCAGCCCAGTGCTACTGTTCTCACTGAGGAATTAGAGGAGCCATCACCCCAATGTATTAAGAAGAAATGAGATACTGAGATCTCACCAAGCTGTTCATGCCTAACAGATACCTAGTTACAGCATTCCTGATTTTTCTGTTTTCAAAGAGTCAGCCAGGCATACTGGTCACCACACCTGTAATCCCAGCTTTCAGTATGCTGAGGCATGAGAATTGTGAGTTTTAGGCTAGCCTGGGCTATGCAGTGAGACCCTATCTATCTCTCATATATATGTGTGATATATATGTCATATATATTCACATGTTTCTAAATATGAATACAATCAAGGCTGATTCCTATGATTTGGTGGAGGGACTAATATGCTGAACATGCTGCCTTATTATTGTTCTCACCTTACAAAGACTCACAGCTCCAATGAAGATAGAGGAAGAGGAGTCAGGGCAGGGTGATGTGGCCACCTGCCAGCCACTTTGGGCATGTGCGGCCAGACAATGGGGCTGCAGGCAGGTGCTGCAGGCAGTGGATGCGGGGAGGGAGGGTGCTGGGCACGGGTACAGAGGGGGCATGGGTGCGGGAGGGGGAGGGGGCATGGGGGCAGGGTCTCGGGTGTGGGAAGATGGGGGACACGGGTGTAGTGGATGGGGGAGGGGGATGGGACAGGACAGGGGGCACGAGTAGGGAGGGTAGGGGGCACGGGTGCAGGGGAGGGGCAGGGGGCATAGGGGCGGGGGCAAGGGTGTGAGAGACAGAGGGTACGGGGGGGCAGAGGGCACGGGTGCGGGGCAGGGGGCATGGGGTACGGGTGTGGGGGGGAGCAGGGGCCATGGGCGCGCGCGGGGTGGGGGGGGGGGGTAGGGGCAGGGGTCTGCGCCCAGGTGCCCAGGTCCATCCTTACCGAGCACGACTGCAGGTTGAGGCTCACGAGCTCGTGGCAGTGGTTCTGAATATGTTTCAGAGCTTCATCCTCTAACTGAGTGGAGGGCGGAAATGAGAGAGGGATGGGATCCGGTGAGAGAACGGTCAGGTCAAGATGACTGCCAGAGCAAGGGCAACAGGCGACCGACCGGATGTCTGTACCTGTGTGCAGCCCCTGAGCAGCAGGGCTTTCAGGCCCCGGCAGCCCCGTACCAGCGCCTCGATGCCTTCCTTTGTGATCTGGTCGCACCAGGACAGGTTCAGATACTCCAGGTTCCGGCAGCCATCGCTGAGAGAACAAACAACAACAGCACCCTGTGCAGCCTCCTGCAGACAGTGCTCAACTCAGTACACCACAGCAGCCTGGACAGGACACAGCCCAGGGCGCCTGAACCACCTCGTCCTCACCCGGGGGAGTCACTGCGAATGTCACACTGAGACGCTAACCACACTAGTGTTGGGTTTGGGGTTTCTCTGTGTAAGGGCACGTATGTGTGGGTACATGTTGTGTGTGGCCAGAAGTCGACTTTGGGCGTCTTCCTCAATTCCTCGCCACCTTTTGTTACTAATTCTTAAAAGATCAGTTGATTGTGATGAACTCACAAACAAAAAACCATGACACAGCTAGAGTGAGTGAGTCAAACGGTGATCCAGCCTCACACTCTGTCCATCTCAGTGTACTTATACGCAGTTAGAAAGGCCATTCCAAAGCCACGGCATTTCCCTTAGGATTTCGCACTTTCAGTATCAATTACAATTTTATGTACTTATCCATCACAAAAAGAAAAAATGATAGAATTGAAAACAGAAAATGATTAGCTTTAAATTGTCTTTTCAATCTTAAATTTGTGTGTGTTGGGGGGCGGGGCAGGATTATGTGCCTATGAACTATGCAGTTGCCCAGAGTGGCCAGGAGAGGGCATCATACCTCTGAATCTGGAGTTACGTCACCGGTGAGCTGCCCAACATGGGCGCCGGGAACTTGGTTCCTCTGCAAGAGCAGTATGTGCTCTTAACTACTGTGCCCTCTCCCCAGCCCCTGGCCTTATGTCCTCTTTCATGGCTCGTGTGCCTTTTCCTGCATTCCATCCCTCCTTATCACACAGGGTCTCTCACTGAACCTGGCTGGAGCTCCCAAACTCAGCTAGGCTGGCTGACCAGTGAGTCCCAGGGATCCTCCCATCTCTACCTCCCCAGGACCGGGGTCACAGGCGGGTACCACCATTCCTGGCTGTTTACATGGATTCTGGAGATTGCAACTTGGGTCGTTATTGCCTGACCGGCTGCGCCACCTCCTCAGCCCGCACTAGTTATTTTCTTGACCCCAAAACTCAAGTGCTCTCACCTGATCCCCTTTAAGGAGTTGTTGGTAACAGACACGCAGGACGTGAGATCCAGGTGTTTCAGCTTGGAACAGAATCTGCTAAGGCTGTAACACGTGCTGGAAAAAAGGCAGGCACACTAAAGATATTTTCAACCTTGTTTCTCACCCGGTGTCCCTGTGGCCACTCTGTCCCCAGATCCATCTTTATTCCTTACCTGTCAGTGATTTTTGTGCAGCCATTGAGGTTTAAATGTTCAATGTTCCGGCAGTTCTGCGCAAAGGTCCTAAAAGGGGTGGGGGCGGTAGAAGTTGTGTGGGTTTTCCCCAAAAGTAGCACAAAAAGCTTTAAAGCAAAATGAAGCACTGAGCCCGGGGCCGCAGGGTTGCTGCAAGCTGCAGAGTGGCCACTAGAGGGCAGCACAACCATCCACTTAGAACAGCACTTTCCAAAGACCACAGACTCCCGGGCAGATAAGGAGCTCAATAACCTGGGATGCTCTCAGGCACTGCGTGCTACTAGCCTGTCACCACACTTTGAGAAACGAAGGCCCAAGCTACCTGGCAGTTAACCCTCCTCCGGCCCCATCTTTGAGATCATCTGAGATGGGAGGCCTGAAACTTCTCACTGGAAAAGTCAGTTGGCAGCAAGGGGTGAACCCCTTCCTGTACCGTGCCCTGGGGGCACTCTGACCACTGTCAGTATCTTTAGTATCAGACCATGTTTACTGACAAGGATTCCGTGGCTGACAGTAAGGGCGGAAGCAGAGAACCACACACACTCCCACTCCTTGCCAGGGTGCTCTCAGGCAACCTGCTTCTTCCTCAGATACAACTTCAGTCTCAGAAGACCGAGTCCTGGCTGTTTCATGGCCATGAGTGTGTCAACTGCTGTCATCCCTGCCAAGTATAGGGATAAAATCCAACAAGTCCACGATGTCAAGGAGTGTGAGTGGAACAGAATGCCAGCAGCTGCCATGTGTGGCCCTGACATTTGCATCGGAAGAACTACCTAAGGCTGGGGACAGAATCAGCTAGAAGGATGGGATTGAAAGATCACCAAGGTCCCTTGGTGGGTACAGAGGCTACTTCTACCTTCGAAACTTAAAAATATGTCATTGTTTCTGGGATTGGGTAGTGAGAAGAGTCGAGCTTCAGAAATGTGGAAGTAGCCTAAATGAAATGCCACTCTGCCTGACCTTTTACTTTAATTAATTAATGGGGGGCTGAAGAGATGACCAGTGGATAAGAGCACTTGCTGCTCTTGCAGAGGACCTGAGTTTGAGTCCCAGCAGCCACAAGGCTGCACACAACATCTATAACTCCAGTAACAGGGAATCCAGGGTCCTCTTATGGCCTCTACAGGTACTATGTACATGTGGTGCACATACATATGTGCATACAAACACTTGTACACACAAAACATTCTCAAGTCTTTAATTAATTAATGGACTGATTTTCGTGGTGCTGGGGATCATGGGCCTCAAACATGCTACGTGAGCACGCTGCCATTCTTCACCCTACCTGCCCCAAGCCTAACAAAGGATATGACCCCAAAAAGAACAGTTAAAACAATGCAGCTGCATCCCAGACTTAAACTCAATAGAGCATTTATAGGAACAAAAACTGCTCCATACTCAAGAAGGTAGGATTCATGATGCCTGCCCAACACCGAGCAAAACCCTGTGTGCTTTCAACGGCGAGGAAATAGATCTACAAGGAACAGAGATCTCTCCATCCTATCCAAGCCCAACAGCAAAGACAGCAGCAGGCCAGGGCACTGAAAGGTTTGCTTTACCCAGAATGCCGCGGAGTACAGTGCCGAGTGAAGACATTTCATGGACACACGAGAGGGTTTTGTTCATTTGGGAGGAAGGCATGTTAAACATGACTGTATGCAAATGGACTGATGGACTGATTAACAACAAATTAGATGTGGTAGGTAGAAAACAGATCGGTGAGTCCGCCAAGAGCAAGGGCAGGGCACATGGTAGCGGTACAGCGTGTGCCTGGTATGGCCAGGGCCAACTGTGTTCACCAAGTGTGACGACAGTGAGACACAGATCACACCACAGCAGCAGCAAGCCTACGGCAGAACCCACCCGAGTGTGACCCTGCGCTGTACAGAAAACCAGTGCTGGTCGGGGCAGGGCTCGGTGGGAGAATCCGGCATGAGTGACCCTGGGTTCAGTCACTAACAACTGCCCCTCCAACACTCCAAATGGATCTATGTTTAAGTCAGAAAACTTCTAAGGGGTGCAGGACTCCCACTGCAGCAGATCCCTGACTGACAGTCACTGCACAGGACTCCCCACTGCAGCAGAGTCTCTGAGTAGCAAGTGGTTGGATTTAGGACTTTTAATGGTTGTCTGACAGTGACCAGTAGTTAGTAGAAATCACAGTGTGAGTTCTAGCTTCCCTCCATTGTTGCTCCGCACTGCTAAGGTCTGAATCCGCCCTGTTCCCACGAGCTCATTGGTGGAGCACGGGTCTCTTGCTAGTGCTACTTGAGGAAGCTGTGGAATTTTGAGGAGAGGGACCTAGCTAGATGAAGCAGGTTGCTGGGAGTGAGTTCCTGGAGCTATCTTTCCCTGGCTCTTTGCTGCCTTGCTTTCTACTTCCTGTTAACCAACAACAGCCTCTGCCACACATTCTCAGTGTGCACAGGGAGACAGCACAGACTAACCCTTCTGAAACTGGGAGCCGAGATAAACCTTCCCTAAGCTGTTCCTGTCAGGCATTCTGGTCACAATGACCACAGCTACTAACACCTGCAGTGAGACTGGAGGATGGGGCGCAATGTTCACTAAGGCTTGCATTTAGACACGGGGGGGGGGGGGGGGGGGGCGCACAGCTCACTAACACCTGAGTCAGACACTGGGGGGGGGGGGCACAGCTCACTAACACCTGAGTCACACTGGGGGGGGGGGGCACAGCTCACTAACACCTGAGTCACACTGGGGGGGGGGGCACAGCTCACTAACACCTGAGTCACACTGGGGGGGGGCACAGCTCACTAACACCTGAGTCAGACACTGGGGGGGGGCACAGCTCACTAACACCTAAGTCACACTGGGGGGGGGCACAGCTCACTAACACCTGAGTCACACTGGGGGGGGGGCACAGCTCACTAACACCTGAGTCACACTTGGGGGGAGGGACAGCTCACTAACACCTGAGTCACACTTGGGGGGTGGGGGGCACAGCTCCTGGCTGGAAACATGGTAACAAGAATGAACAGTGAAACCATTCCAGAAACTGTGTTGTGTTCAGATGCAGATGCTTGATAAAGTATGTAAGACACTCACAACTACACCATGAGACAGGCTTTGTATTGGACGCTTTTGCTCAGTTCTGTGCTCACAGCAAGTGTTCCAAACACACCTAAGGCCAAGCTAAGCTTTGAAGTTCAGTGAGGCTAGTGTATTAAACGCAATTGTAAGAGGTTACTTTTATGAATATGTATGTCTCTGTGTGTGCCATGTGAGGGCACTGGATCCCCTGGAGCTGGAGTTACAGCAGGTTCTGAGCTACTGGGCATGGGTTCCGGGAACTCTACAAGAGCAGCTGGTGCTCTCAAGCTCTGAGCCATCTCCCCAGCCCCTGAAGACAAGTTCATCAGAGGGTGAGCCTAACATCCCAAAGCACCTGTACATCTATGGGATGGATTACTGCTGGGCAGGAAAAGGAACAAATGCTATCTCCAGCAAGATGAATGAATGAATGAATGAATCCAGGGCAACTGTGCTGAGCGGCAGGAGCCACACACTGGAACAGAGTCCTCCCTCCGATGCACAGCATCTAAAGAGTTTGGGTTTCAAATTCAGGACAAACTACTAAATGTTCTTGGCCTCTCAACGGTGCTTCCTACCGGGTGTGGTGGTGCACACCTTTAACCCAGCACTCAGGAGGCAGAGGCAGGCGGGTCTCTGAGCTCCAGGCCAGCCTGGGCTACACAGAGAGTTCTAGGCCAGCCAGGGCTATATTATGAGACTCTAAAAATAAACAATAAAATGGCACTTCTTTCATAGTCGCCACCAGCAATCCACACTTCCACATTTATTTTGGTGTCTTCAATGGGACAACTATTAGAGTTATGTCTTACATTATAAGCTACACCAGGCCTATTAGTAAATTCCTGTTTCCTCTTAAGCTAGACTTAGTCCATTCCATTCCACTGATGCACAAAGCTTCTCAAGTAGAAACTCTGGGCTTAAAGATCTGAACCAGCCTTTTTTTTTTTTTTTTTTTTTTTTCCTGTCTCAGAAACCCTGAGACAGGATTTCTCTGTGTAGCCTTGGCTGTCCTGGAACTGGCTCTGTAGACCAGGCTGGCCTTGAACTCAGAGATCCCCCTGCCTCTGCCTTGAGTGCTGGGATTAAAGGCTGTGCCACCATGCCCAGCTTGAACTAGTCTGTAATATATCAGTATATCTACCCTGTACACAGTGACGGTTTCACGACAGCATTTTTCACTGTGGTAGCTCAAGCACAGGACCTTCATCTGCCCTTCCTTCTTTAACCCAATAGATCCTCCTCTACATTCTACTATATTTCTACTTTTAAAAAAAACCCTCATGAAGGCTGAGTGTGGTGTGGACCTCTGTGAGTTCAAGGCCATCTTGGTCTACATAGCAAGTTTCAGGGCAGCCAGGGCTAATCAAGAGACCCTGTCTTGAAAAGAATCCTTCATGGGCTGGAGAGACGATGTGGGGTAAAAATGCTTCCCATCAAGCCGATGTTGTAGTCAGCCTCCTGTGTCAACTACGTATAAACCTGGAGTCACCTGGGAAGAGGGAACCTCAGCTCCAGAACTGCTTCAATCAGAATGACCCACTGCCGGGCTGTGAGACCTTTGCTAAGTGATGTCGGAGGGCCCGGCTCACTGTGGGCGACACAATCCCTTAGCAGGCGGGCCTGGGCTGTAAGCAGTGTTCCTCCACGGCCTCTGCTTCAAGCTCTTGCCTTGAGTTCTTGCTTCGGTTTCCCTTGATGGCGGACTGTAACCTGCAAGCCAAATAAACCCTTTCTTCCTCCAACAAAGCATGGCTGCCTAGGAGGAAGGGACTATGCGTGTATTGTACAGGCACTATTAATCATCACAACAAAGTAATGTAATAAATCTGTCCCATCATGAGTAAGCAAAACTCCATTTCTGAAAGAGTTCATTTGTGTGTGAGTGAAGTCTTCTAAGAAACTAGAAGATGAGAGGGTAGAGAAGGGACAGCGGAGAGTAAGCCAAGAGTCACGGGCGCTGCCCGTCTGCCAGCTGTTCGACGGCAGGCACTTCTAGCACATCCACTCCTAACTGCCCCACCGGCATCCAGGAGAAAATAGCTCACGGCAGGCAGGGGAAGCCATCTGTCCCCAGGCTGCTCCCCTCAGGACAGTGGGGTGTCAGTTATTCTAAATGCACAGCTCTCGTTATGCAAATTATCACAGAAAGGACTTAATGGAAGAAAAGCACAGACTACGTTTGCTTTGCTTTTGCTGATGTCAACCATCAGCTGCGGTGGCTGTCACTCACTTTAAGGAAGAGTCCCCAACGCCGATGCAGCCGCGCAAGCTGAGTTTTCTAAGGAAGCCACCGCACCTCTTGGAGATGTTTTTCCACCACTCGGCCCTTAAATGGAGAAAGGTGGGAAACGGTCATTTTTTCATGCTGTTATTAATATTTAATAACAGAATAAGCTGAACTGTAAATTAAGTTTTCCAAATGCAGCAAGAGACGCGCACCGATGGTCTGGAGTCCATCCTCACCTGTCTTTCCATCAGCAGCACAGTGAGGATTCTCTGAGCACCTCACTGCCTTTCAAAGAATTGGAAAGCACCCTCCCACACTCACAGCTATTCCAGCTGTTCTACTGGAACGTAGCTGTGGAAGCCACTGGGGAGAATAAAATAATGCTCTAAAAAGCAAGTCAGTCTTTTTAATGTATGTGTATTGTGTGTGCATGTGGTGTGTGTTTTACATATAGCTATCTTGGCAGAGACCTGCAAACACTAGGGATCTGCTAGTGCTTGTGCTGGACACAAACCACAACATCGTCAGAGGGCTGGCTGGCACACACGGCTACCATCAGCTAGACTGCAAGTCTGACCGTCCACACTGGTAGTATTCATTATGTTTTCTTGAGGATTACCTGAACTTTTTAATATTGTATTTTTATGCGTATGTGTATGTGAGTACCCACAAAGGCCAGGAGAGGGTACTGGATCCCCTGGAGAGGCAGCTTGTAGGAGCGGGTAAGTCACACCCAGCATGTGTCTGTGAAGAGAACTGGGGTCCTCCAGAAAAGCAGCTAGGGGATGTCCACAGGAAGCCTCCCTTTCTGAGTGAATACAGAGGAGGTGTGGACGGGGGGGGGGGGGGGGGGGGGCGGGGGGGGGCCGGGGGGGGAGGCTGCAGTGGAATGTCAACTAACTAAACAAATAAATCAGTGAGCTCACTTGGTTGGGAGGGCTTGGGGGGAGTTGCATGGGGGAAATACATACAGGGCAGAAGTGAGTGTTTCACTGCCTATGTGTATGAAATTAAAAAATGGGCCGGGCGGTGGTGGCGCACGCCTTTAATCCCAGCACTCGGGAGGCAGAGCCAGGCGGATCTCTGTGAGTTCGAGGCCAGCCTGGGCTACCAAGTGAGTTCCAGGAGAGGCGCAAAGCTACACAGAGAAACCCTGTCTCGAAAAACCAAAAAAAAAAAAAAAAAATGAAGAAAAATTAATGTAAACATAAAAAAGAAAAAGCAGCAAGTGCTCTTAACCCCTGAGCCATCTCTCTAACAGGAGTTTATCATTTTTAAGCAAAATCCAAGACAATTGTAAAATAAATCTTTGCTACCAAAGGGGAAAGAAGATTAGGGCTTGGAAATCTAAACTGTAAGCAGCTAACAGCAGAACCCACAGCAGCTTCTGGCAGCTCTCTCCACTGCAAGACTTCATTCCTTTGTTCACTGGAACAACAGTTCTTATACCAGAATAAAAAATTATGTACATGGTGATAATTATGCACCACTGTTTCTAAGAGGGGGAAAAATAGCAAATCCTTTGCTAATTCAATGTTTATTCAATAGCCCTTGTTACCTGCCTGACATAGCACACCACAGGCATGCTCAGGATGAGAGGCTCTGGGGAGGCTTACATAGGCTTTTAAAACCCAAAGTTATGACTTTAACATATCACCTGGTTTCTTCTCATTTTTTGGTTAGATCTTTGAGAATCTTGTACTATCTGTTTTCCTCACATTCAAGCCCCTCAGATCCGCACAGATCCACCCCTTCCTTACGCACCCAACCTTGTGGGTTGTTTTGGTTTTTTTCACTCATCAGATCCGAGTTGTGCTACCCACACTGTCTCGGTGTGTGCCACTCTACTGGAGCATCGTCACTTTACCAGGGGCTATATTCTTTTGTTTTGTTGTTTGTTTTTCGAGACAGGGTTTCTCTGTGTAGTCCTGGCTGTTCTGGAACTCACTCTGTAGACCAGGCTGGCCTTGAACTCACAGAGATCCGCCTGCCTCTGCCTCCCAAGTGCTGGGATTAAAGGCGTGCGCCACCACCGCCTGGCTCAGGGGCTATATTCTTAAAGAAAAGTGACTCCTCCCTCTCCCAACAACTATCAACTGTCAATAGTGCCTCAGCTATCGGTGGGTTCCATTCGTAACCACAAAAATTGATGAGGAATGGACAATTTCTTTTTTATTTTAAAATTTTATTTATTTCTGTATATAAATGTAAAAGTACCATGGCACAAGTGTGGAGGTCAGAGGCCAATTTGCAAGAGTCTGTTCTCTCTTTCCACCACGTGGGGCCCCAGAACTGATCTCAGATAGTCAGGCTTGGTAGCAAGTGCCTTTACCCACTGAGTCATCTCCTGGTCTCATGTGTCCAGTCTCTGGAGGCATGGAAATGCCTCGCTATAGGCAAAGTTTCTGTCCTGCCTAGTCCCACAGCCATTCAGTCCCAAATAAACACACAGAGGCCTATATTAATTATAAACTGTTTAGCCTATAGCTCAGGCTTATTGCTAGATAGCTATTAAATCTTAAATTACCCCATTTCTGTTCATCTATGTATTGCCACATGTGGCTTCATGGTGTTACCTGTATTGAATTACATCTTGCTCCCCAGGCAGTGCTCAACATCTCCTCAGACTCCACCTTTCTCCTTCCTGTATCTCTGCTTAGATTTCTCACCTGCCTCTAAGCTACCTTGCCATAGGCCAAAGCATCTTATTTATTAACCAATGGTAGCAACACATATTCACAGCATACACAAAGACCATCCCCCAGCACTTCCCCTTTTCTGTCTAATCAAAAAGGAAGGCTTTCATTTTAACATAGTAAAATTACATATAACAGTTATCAAGCAAGAATTACAGTTATAATATCTAGTCTATTTGTATGTGGCATTTAAGATGTTATAATAACATAGGTTCTTTTTATAACAGTGAGACATGTCTGCTCCTGGCAGCACCAATACACTTCAAAGAAGATGATGGGCATCGAAGAAATCTCCATATGGAATTTCCTTTTCCTGTGGCAAAAGTTAGCCACTAGGAAAGAAAATGCTCTTGCCTCAACTGCTGACAGTATGCTGTCCAAATGCACAAGCAGGACACAAAAGAAAGGACTGCCCAACTTTGCCAAGACAAAGTAGGAAGGCCCTTTAGAAAATCCTGCTTCACAGATGAGTCTGTCAGATATGCTAGGCCTGTAGGCTGAAGATGGATGCCCCAATGTTGCAGAGGAACCCTGGGTGACTTTCCAGGCAGCCAGCTGTTTCTGTCATTTCTCATATTTTTTGGAAGTCACTTGCTTGCACTTATTGTTCACTCAGGTAATATTTCCTTCTCAGGTCTCTGATGGAGTTGAAGACTATAGTTATAGTTTTCCTTGTTAACAAATTCAGAAAAGAAACTCACTGAAGAGGTGTAAAAGTATATAAGTTTTAAAGACATCAAAAGATAGTTTCCATTGGTAATACAAGTTAGATACAAAGTGAATTAGGTACAACACTTTGGACTCATCAAAATAGAATAAATAATGGAGTATTTTCTCTGAATTGGAAAATTGTAAATGGACTGGACATTGTTAATGTAATTCTTGACTGTATATATTATATATAGTTATTATACTTACTATATATAATTTTTCCTATATTAGTTATAACCTTTTTTATTTTAGACAGAAAAAAGGAGAAGTATGGTGATATTTTGTATATGCTCTAACAAATCTTGTCTGAAGATCAGATAGCAGAGCCAGTCACAGAGTTAGTTATAGAGGCCTGGCAGTGGTGACACACACCTTTAATCCTAGCACTCAGGAGGCAGAGGTAGACAGATCTCTGTGAGTTCAGGCCACCCTGGACTATATGAGATTAATCCAGTTTAAAAGAGAAACAGAGCCAGGCGGTGATGGCTCACACCTTTTTTTTTTTTTTTTTTTTTTGAGACAGGGTTTCTCTGGGTAGCTTTGCGCCTTTCCTGGATCTCGCTCTGTAGACCAGGCTGGCCTCGAACTCACAAAGATCCACCTGCCTCTGCCTCCCAAGTACTGGGATTAAAGGTGTGCGCCACCACTGCCCGGCTGGCTCACACCTTTAATCCCAGTACTTGGGAGTCACACGCCTTTAATCCCAGCACTAGGAAGGTTGAGACAGGAAGTGATATGGCTGGGCAGAGAGAGGAATATAAGGTGGGAGGAAACAGGAGTTTGGGCCCCCTTTCACTGAGAACTCGGGTATTCAGTCTGAGGATTTGTGGAGACAGGATCTTCTCCTTTTGGCTGAGAAGTTGGTGAGGTGAGAAGTAGCCATGGCTTATTTCCTCTGATTTTTCAGCATTTACCCCCAATATCTGGCTCTGGGTTTTTATTATAAGACCAATTAGGATTCGCACAACACCTCACCTCAGAGGAGCATGTACATTCAGAAAGAATGGCACTGGAAGACTCCAAAAGCTCCTTCCATCTGAATACTTTATTCACCTTTTCTACCAACCCACAGGTGTGTAACCCACTTCCCTAGGTAGGTACCTAGACTCAACCTATTTGTTCCTCAGTTTCTTCAGTTTCTTTTTTTAAATTAGTTTATTTATCGATTTACATGTATGTGTTTGTCTATGTGAGTTTATGTGCACAATGTGAGTGTAGGAGCCCTCAGAGGCCACAAGAGGGCATCAGATTGCCTAGAACTGGAGTTGCAGATAGTTGTAAGCTGCCATGTGATATTGGGAATCAAACCCAGGTCCTTTGCAGGAGCAGCAAGTGCTCTTAACCACTGAACCATCTCTGCAGCCCCTCTGCAGTCTGGTATTGAGAGGACGGATGAACTGCATTAACACACGAGGCATGCTCAGAACTGTGTGGGCAGTCAGGAACTACTGCTGTGTGTTATCTGCAGGGACTAGGGCTTCTCTGATGTGGGATGTCCTTCTGTACGCTGCACATATGTGTTGCTTTTATTGGTTGACGAATAAAGCTGCTTTGGCCTATGGCAAGGCAGAATACAGCTAGGCGGGAAAGCTGAACGGAATACAGGGAGAAAGAAGGGCAGAGCTGAGACACCATCAGCCACCAGAGGAGCAAGCTGTATTAGAACACAGGGAAAGCCACGAGACACATGGCAAAACACAGATTAATAGAAAAGAATTAATTTAAGTTTTAAGAGCTAGTTAGTAATAAGCCTGAGAATAGGCCAAACAGTTTGTAATTAGTATTAAGCCTCTAAGTGATTATTTTATAAGTGGCTGTGGGACTGGGTGGGACAGAGAAAAGCTTTCAGTTATACTTCCCTTTCCAGAGGGACACATGGATCCTTTGGTCCTTGTCTCCTCTGTACTCACCCACCAAAGAATGAGGAATAAAGCGCTCCAAAGTGAACAGTGAGAGGGAAGTGCTCTGCCCATTTGCTGTAGCTATTTGCAAAATGGAGAGACCCTGGCTCAAAAACACTACTATCAACGGGACCAGAGTGATGTCTGAGTAGGTAATGGTGCCTGTTATCAAGCCTGAAGGCCTGAATCTGATCCTTGGAACCTGAGAACCAACTCCTGCAGGTTGTCCTCTGACCTCCCTTGGCAAATACATGTGCACACACATACACACACAACAAACATGTGCACACACATACACACACAACAAACGTGCACACACATACACACACAACAAACATACAAAAATAATTTAGGTGAACTAACTTACCTCTACATCTGTTTGAAAGTTAAAAAGATCTATTCTTTGCCAGTTGCTTCCATCCAGGGCTAAGATGTTCCATGCCTGGGAGGGGAGACAAGAGAGGAGGGTGGGGTGAGAGAGACGCATCTGCTGAGGATGTTTTGTATTTCCAAACTTTTATTCATGGTGTACGTCAAGTTAAAATAAAATATGGAATTATAATACTGTTATTTTAATAAGACAACATTTAATTGTAATGTTTAGTTTGAACCAAGCTCTCATTGATACTAACAACCAGGCAATACTCTACCTTGGAAATCTGTGCACATCGGCAGAGAGTTACTATATCCAAGAAGGAGAATATTCTAGAGAGAGAGAGAAGATGAGAGGGTGTCAACACCTCAGGACAATTAGAACTTCAAAGACATAATCTAAGGCATCACCTGGACACGCAGAACTTTCAAGAGCCTCCGGCTGGCAACCCACTCAGCTGGCAACACACTAATGCACACTTATTTCCCACACACTGATGCACACTTGTTTCCCACACACTGATACACACTAATTTAACACACACTGATGTACACTTATTTCCCACACACTGATGCACACTAATTTCACACACACTGATGTACACTTATTTCCCACACACTAGTTTCCCACACACTGATGCACACTTGTTTCCCACACACTGATGTACACTTATTTCCCACACACTGATACACACTGGTTTCCCACACACTGATGCACACTAGTTTACCACACACTAATGCACACTAATTTCCCACACACTGATGTATACTTATTTCCCACACTAATTTCTCACACACTGATACACACTAATTTCCCACACACTGATGCACACTAGTTTCCCACACACTAATGCACACTAATTTCACACACACTGATACACACTAGTTTCCCACACACTGATACACACTAGTTTCCCACACACTAATACACACTAATTTCCCACACACTGATGCACAGTAGTTTCCCACACACTGATGCACAGTAGTTTCCCACACACTGATGCACACTAGTTTCCCACACACTGATGCACACTAATTTCCCACACACTCACGCACACTAGTTTCTCACACACTGATGCACACTAGTTTCCCACACACTAATGCACACTAATTTCCACACACTGATGCACACTAATTTCACACACACTAATGCACACTAATTTCACACACACTGATGCACACTAATTTCACACACACTGATGCACACTAATTTCACACACACTGATGCACACTAATTTCCCACGGCCGTTGTAAAACTCTTTCTGCTCCTATTCTGCTTTAGTCCCGTCATACAAAGTCTCTCTAACCAGAAGTCGCCAAGCTTCTCTTTCTCCTGCTCTGAGAACTGATGTGGGAATGGACCCTACTTCACTCTCCTTGAAGACCAGCATTCCAGTTTCCCAGGTGCTGGGCCAGGATGACTAAATCCCGTCCTTCTAATGTTCCTAATGCGCAACGCCAACTCCTAATTCAGATACTTGAGCCTCAAATAATGCGGTTCAAAAGGCTTGATGAGAAAACCCATTTGGCTGGACGTATCTGTTCACACGGCAAAGAGTTTTCAGTCTTTAAGCGCAGATGCCAAGGAGCCATGGGAGATGAGAAAGACGGGGAAGGGGGGCAAAGGACAGATGGAAGCCTGGTGACGTCTGTGAGGGCTTTAGAGGAAGGTGGCCGTGGGTGTGGCAGGGCCTGAGGGGGGTCCCTGTGACACTGGGTGCTGACGACAGCGGAGTAGACACACTGTGTGTGCACTTCAATGCTGGGGAGGCACAGAGGGCGGGCACAATGCTGGCTGGACAAAAAGAAGCTATGGAAGTGTGAGGAAGAGGACAGGGTAAGATGGTAAATGTACACCAAGAGGTCCCCAAAGTCTTCAAAGTTACAGCCAGTGTTGAGTTAAAACTCTGTAGACTCAGGGATGGATGACAGAGCCCCAGAGTGCCCCAGTACTGCACACTAGCATGGTGGCCCGACCCATGCAACACCAGGGGACTAGAGGTGGCAGATGTTGCTCTCCACCAGCGACTCCGTGAACACACGGGAGAGAAGCCTCAAGGCTGCACTGGTCTTAACAGAGCTAAGTACAAAAAATGCCCGTGGCCGAAATGTGTGCTGACATAGATTCATACTCTTATGTTGGGGATCTGCACACCTACGTGACCTCTATGGAAATTTATTTTGCTCACCCCACAGGCCCTCCTGTCCAATAGCCATGTTGCTAGCCCACAGGGGCCCCACAAACTACCCACACACATCATGCTGGGCCCCAGTGCAAACGTGTATGACAGAGAAGAAGAGAGTTAAGGTCTCCTTGAGTCTCCCCAAGGGCAATCCACATGGCAAATGACACAATCTACCATCCCCCAGGAACAACACCACACTCTGGTTCTAAAGACAGCCATTGACTGTGCCCCGTGGACCACCCACAGGCTCCACGGTCGTCACTTGTCACAACCACACTGTGAGGAGGAGGAGGAGGAGGAGGACTATTGTCATGTCCACTTCAGAGACAAGGTGACTTGATCAAGCCACGGGGGATGGAAAGGCTGCAGCTGCAGTCTGAACCAAAGCAGTCCAGCTGGCCCAAGAGCCCACGACCACGCGAGTCCCGCCTGGGAAAGTCTGACAGCGATTTCTTCCTTGGGACTTGACTGTCCACTGTGTGGAGAAGTTTTCTCTTAGTGAGCATGCTGTTTGGAAAAATCTAGTCTAAGTGAAGCAAGATCTTTGTAGGCTGAAACACACAGGAACCAAGTGGGTCAGAATATATGTGCCTCCTCTTGGGCCGATTACTCCATTTTACGGTCACCGAATGGAAAAGCGCATCGCCCAAGGTATTTACATCATTTTCCCCACACACCTTTAAACTGAATGCAATTTCATTTCCACAAGCAGGCACGGTGGTATTTCCAACTGCCAAGCTACAGCCTACACCAATTCCTGACTCAGGGTTTGGTGAACAAAATTGATGGTAAAAGACAGACCCCAGAGCACCAGTGACAGACAGATGCCTGGGGGCCAGGGAAAGGGCACAGCAGGTAAGGGTGCCTGCTGCCAGGCCTGATGACTCCCAAGTTGTCCTCTGACCTCCACATGTGTGCCATGCCTTGCTCCAGCCTGCTCTCCCTCCCTCACCCATACACATCGTTCTCTCTCTCTCTCACACACACAAAGAGAGAGAGAGAGAGAGAGAGAGAGAGAGAGAGAGAGAGAGAGAGAGAGAACGAAAGAGAGTAAATAATTTTTTAAAGTAAAAACAATGAAGAAGCCAGGCGGTGGTGGCCACACCTTTAATCCCAGCACTGTGGAGGCAGAGGCAGGCCAATCTCTGAGTTTGAGGTCAGCCTGGTCTACAGAGTGAGATCCAGGATAGCTGGGGCTACACAGAGAAACCCTGTGTAGTGGGTAGCCATTCCAGCTTTGATCTGGAAGTTCCAACCCCCATTGAGACTTCAGCAAATGTCACGCCTACAAGGCGGGGTGAAGGGAGGCGCCTGGAGACTGGAGAGCTGGATTGGCGGGCTCACGCTCGGTTCCGGGACCCTGGACGGGAGAGGTGGACCAAGCAGGGCTCCAGAGAACACCGCTGGACTGCGATACACCTTCCCCAGACCCTGCGACCTACCTATCCCTTAATTTGTAAGTTACGCCATTAAATAAATCTCCTTTTAACTACGTGGAGTGGCCTTAATAATTTCACCAATATCTGGCGCCCAACGTGGGGCAAATTCCAAAGGCCTGGGTGGCTCCCACCCTCAGCCTCCTCCCTGGCTAGCGGGTACCTAAACCCGCCTGCAAAGTTCCATATAACCAGGGAACACCTACACGGTTCCATTCCCGAAAAAGGGAGCAGCTAGTCCGGTCTCAGCTCCCTAGCTTAGCCCCGAGACCAGTGAAAGAGGCACTCCCCGGCATCCTGAGTGCCGGCGCCGGCTCCGGCTCCCGCCATCTTGACTCCAGCGAGCTGCAGTCAGCCAAGATCACCAGCAGGCCCTGCTTTGGAGCTGTACCAACGCCACCTGCTGGCTGAAAAGTGCTACTACACCCCCCCAAACCACGAAAGGTAAGTAAAAGTACCTGATAATTTTACACCTTAAAATTGACTAAAAATTTTTGAGTAATTCTTGTAATATGGCTGACAACATTACCTCACAAGAATTTGAAAATCTTTTTGCCTGTATGATGAATGACATCTTCCTGGAAATATACGACCTTCCTAAGGCATATCTGGCCTGTACCATTTTGGCATTCATTGTAATAATCCACACAGTGTTCAAACACTGGTTTAATAACAAGAACAAAGATGAGTCATTATTGGGACTGATACAGGCTTTAAGCGAGAGCAATGAAGGCTTACAGAAAAAGATTCTATCTCTGGAATCTGCATTAATGGATAGCAATGAGACCTTAGAGAAGAAGATTCTTTCTCTGGAATCTGCTGATCAGGATTTACAAAACAGGCTTGGACCAAAAATTGATCTTATTGATAATAAATGTGAATATTTAATGGACAAAACACTAACTCTCCAGACACTATATAAGGAAGAAAGATTATCATTAATTGATAAGATAAGGTCCATGGAATCATGTGTTTCTGAGGAACATAAAAACTTCAAAAAAAAATAAATAAATAAAATTTAATAAATAAATAAATAAATAAATAAATAAAATAAAAAATAAAAAAAAGCCGGGCGGTGGTGGCGCATGCCTTTAATCCCAGCACTCGGGAGGCAGAGCCAGGTGGATCTCTGTGAGTTCGAGGCCAGCCTGGGCTACCAAGTGAGTTCCAGGAAAGGCGCAAAGCTACACAGAGAAACCCTGTCTCGAAAAACCAAAAAAAAAAAAAAAAACTTCTATGATTCCATGAGAAATCTGGAGTCCCTTGCCAGAGAGGAGGCTCACTCCATAGAACAGACCCTAGGTGCTCGTTTGCAGGCCTTAGAAGAAACTCTCAGTAAACATGACAAGGGACCTAATAAGCAGAAGGGCAAGACCATAGAGGTTGTAACATCTCCAAATGGCTCTCACACAATGGCTTATCCTGTTATCATCCATGAGAAGCAAGCGGATGACACACACCCCGAACCATATACTACATATACATTACAACCAATTTCAACAAGGGACTTTAAAAATATAAAGGAAGCAGTAGTTACGTATGGGATACACTCCACGTACGTAAAACAGATGTTAAATTCGTGGTCTACCTCACATAGAATCATCCCAAATGACTGGCATCAGTTAATTTCAGCTGTTCTAGAATATAGCCAGCAGCTACAGTGGAAAAGCTGGTTGAGAGAAGAGGCAAAAATTTTAGAACAAGGTAAACT